CACAATGAATTTTCATGTTCAATGTAAATCATCTCTTCTCTGTACAACGCATTCATATCGATCCATTCCACCTCTACAGTGGCACAACATCATTAAGTCCTATTACCCAGAGGTTAACTTATGGGGAGCATGTACGTCAAAAATTGAAAATTAAGACTTTGCCTGTTTTTAGGCTCATTCTGAAGGTCCGAGAATTGCGTTTATAAAGAGCCCAAAGCCATGTTTGTGCTTTCATTTGCTCGTTCACGAGCCGTGCCAAGCCATGGATAAAACATATACCTTCAATGATCACAAATTTCAGTTTTTTGGCTCTCCTGAAAACTTTAACTTTTCATCTTGAAAATCTATCTCCTCCTATGATTTTCGAACTACAGCATTGAGAGACCAATTTACCATTCAATTTGTAAATACATGATATTACGATCATTCGTTCACTTTATCAGAGTTTTTCATTGTTTTTATTATATGTTGAAAAATGGTGGGGATTGAATTCAATATATTAAAAAATCACATAAATGGGGAAAAAACTGAGAAAAGTGATCGGATGATCACTAGATTTGGCCTTTACGAATCGAATGATATGTCTCTCGATGTTGTAGCACTTTAATTGAATGACTTGCTAAAGATTGTCCGGCGTACAAACAACATTGATTCAGTTTATGAGTTGGTGTAATAGGTTATTGAGGTGATGAATAGCAGATACAAATTACCTAGAAAAAGGGACTTTCTCCTCCAGGAATTGTATTTCGTAAGTGAGCAATTTGTCAGTGCAAAATAATATTGTATTTAAATCCTGTAATTTATTACCTACAGATTGAATGAGTCGCCAAAATTGATATAAATGTTTGAGTTATTGTATGTTAAACATATACTGTATTTGATGAACCAAGTAATGAATTTCAATACTTTTAATGCACATTTCTGTAATATTTATGGGATAAATCTGAATGGCAGTGTATTATATAAGTACTATTATTAATCAGCAGTCTGGAATTTGGGGAACATAGAGCTTTTAATTTCTCGAAATTAAGGAAACTTTTGTTTTGAGAATAAGCCCCCACGGATCAGGGAAACTAAATGAATTTTCTCTGGTTATTCTTACCCAAAATTCATCTTGGTGATAGTTTGGGTTGAATAGGGCAGAAATTATTCATGTTAGTTAAGAAGTGTTACCCTATTTAGTTTTACTTCGGTTCAAGGCTCATTTACCCTATTGAGGGCAAGAAATTTTAAACCCAATAAATGAACAATTTGAATACGGTCATGAGTTGACTGAAAGAAAAATTCCCTCCATTTAATATGATTAATAAAATTATCATTAAAGAAGAAATAATTTTACAGCAAATTAAATGCGACACACGCAGCATAGATCGAATTTTCGTTCCTTAATTAGTTGATCATATCTCGCCGACGAGATTTCAATATCGCTAGATTCTCTCCCTCCTATCCAATGAATAAGTAGAGGTTAAATTTGAAGATTTGAAATTATTATCTTACACTAATGCATAGTGATCAAGTTGACTCGATACCGGCATTACTGAGGTTGTACGACAATGTCTTATCTCGAAGCATAACTGAATTATTGACATCACTAGTCCGACTGGCGCATCACCGCAACTACAGCAGCCCCACGAACGCTCAGCGGCTGCAGCTGAAAACAGAAAAAATTGTACATATAACAGCAAATGCTTATATTATCGTAATGTGTCTCGCATGTTAATATTTACTTGTGCCATATACGACACCTAAATTATGAGGTCAAGCTGACTTGTGTAGACAATGAAGAGAGGAAGGTTATTTTCAGTTACTTCAATCACATGCAATTTTTTGGAGAAGCTGCAATTGTGTGTTGGGTTAAGCTTAGGTTTAACAGTAATTATTAGGGGCTTGTTAAACACTTATATAATTAAATAAAATTATGAAGTGTGTTCCACGCATTTCAACGTTATAAAATCGAATAATGTATGTTTGATGTGTCAGTTTAGACATGTTACCGCTATACTCTGATGAGTGCCACATGCTCTATGAGCAAAACTTCGCAGCTAATGAATATAGTCTACGGATAACTCCTCGTGAGTTTTGATTGCTCGCTGCACCCTAAGTGCGCAGTCTCTCCGAGTTCAACGCCTACCATCCAAATTAATTATAAAAACTAATAAAAATTATGATATATACTTTTGATAAGGAATTATATCTACCTTGGAGGATGATATAGGTAGATGATATTTGGAAGATAGTATATATTAAATTAAGCCATAGTCTAGTAAGGCAAAAAAAAGTACTTCAATGATTCCCTAAGTAATATCAGTATATACTGTATGTCTGCCGGTCTCTTGCGTGTACCTTGTCTTGAATCACTAAAGAAAAATCAGAGCCAAAGCATGACAAATTTATTTGAGCTTCGCTTGTTACTTTTCAACAATATTGAACACGATACCCAAACAGATGTTGTGTGTTGTGGGTGTGGTTCTGACACAGAGGGCATGACGGTGTTGGGTAATTAGCCTCATCGATCTTATTGAGGTATTCTCTAAGCATTGGGCATTTCCCCCGCCCTTAACTGCGCCAATGTACGCCTCATGCCTCGGTCCAAAGTCCTCTCTGTTTCGTTTACTTTAGGTGCTGGTGCATTTAGAATCTTGTTGGGTGTTCTCGACTCTAGATATCTCTCGACTGCGGTAGTATGCAACGTCTTCATGTTTCTATTCACCTCCACACTGCTATCACTGTTGTTGTTGTAGCAGTCGTACACTTTTATGCTATACTCACTGTTGTATATGGCATTTTTCATGTGTCTGATTGGCTTTTGATTCATCAGACTTCTCAGTGGGTGTTCTTCCAGTTTACTCTTCTCCCTCAGTTGCGAGGCCGTCATCTGCACGTGGTTCTTCAGGGACAGGACAGGGATTTCTCTTTAATTTTACATTTCCTTGCGGAATGAATTTCTTGCTTGCTTTCTTTATTGCTTGTTCTATTCTCTTTGTCGCCACTCCGATGTTATATGGTCTTCCATCGTCTGCTGTTAGCATACTGCCAATAAATTCCTTGTACCAATCCCACTTTGCTTTCTTGAAATTGATATAGGTCATCTGTTTTCTTATACTCCTTTCCTTATTGTGGGTTTGTATTTTCGGTATGATTGGGAGGTGGTCTGATGATGTCATCGTTTCGCATTTTGAGTATCTCTTCAGGGAAAGCTCGCTAAAAATTAGATTTCCCGCTAAAATTGTCACGTTAGGTCAATAGCGCTGGAAGCTTAGTCCACTGCTTGTTGAGCCCTGACGACGCGCGCATCTAATGGTACTAACCCTACTTCACTGTTAAATTCCGATTACTCCCGAGCGTGGAAGGTATTACCTTCCACGACACGGGACGCGAACGGTACATCTGCAGCTGTACCAGAACGCTCACAAACATACTCGAGTGAAAGGGTTATTAGCCCTCCCAACACGAGAAAATCACTTTAGAAGCTTTACTACCGTCAACTGGAACTAACCAAGAACTCCATCAAAGCCTATTATTTAGTGGAGATTTCTCCAGAACAATAGTGGAAGTTCGGAAGTCCAAATAAAGATACCATCGAGTCGAAACGCCTGCTCCCCGACCTAGTACAACTGAGCACAAACAATTTGCCCGCGAGGGGTAACTAGGCTAAAATAACTTTGCCGCAATACCTAGTTCACAGCGCAACAAATAGCCTCACAATTCAGAACTAGCCTCACAATAGACTAGCCTCACAAGTCAGGTATAAATGAAGATAAAATAATACAATACAATAAATTAATCATAATTTAATCCATTGTCAAACTAATCACAAGTTAATAGTCGAATAATTCTAAACTAATTCTAAAGAGACCGAGCTCTCTATCGTCCAAGACTACCTATGGGAATGAATAAACGTGCACCATCGCGAGGCTAGGCGCAACTCGACCAATCACGTCGGAGCTACAACATTCAGTCTCGTTCCAAGACGCTAATAACTAAATCTATGAATTAACAAAATAATATCACAGTTAAACGAGATTCCATATTCTAGTCCTAAAATAAATATATTTAACCATTATTGAGTCACTAATCTAACTAGTGGATCAGCGCCGCCTTGATCTGTGATTTGGTAATCACATGGGGTCCTGGTAACTTACTCCAAAATTCCTGTATCTTTTTATGTGTGTCTGATGATTTAATAATTACGTTTTCAAATTTATTGTCGGTCGTTTTAGGGCTCCCCTAATGTTAATTATCAATGTCCTCAATGACAAGCTTTCAACACCGCCTATAGTAGACCAGCTGGTTTGACCAAAATGTCGTGCATACAAGGTATTCAATGACATTTAATCATAAGAAAAGCGGCGAATCAATTAATTATAAATTTAAACCTAATGGAACATTTCATAATTTTAATTTCATAATTTGATTCGACGATCAGAGGAGTAGTCGAAAAACCTAAATATCTAGCTATTGTTTAGGTCTGCTTAATTTACGACTTGTTAGTGGTAATTTCGTAGACCGATCGAATGAGATTTCTACCGTAATAACTACCAAATGAATGCAATGTTTTGCGTCGGGCAAAAACCCTCCAATATTTATCGGTTAAAGGTTTTCCCATTTTTCAGGGAGGGCCGTTTGTGCAGGCGCTCGCCAGGAGTTTACTGGTGACTGACAGCAGCGGTGCCAGAGAGGAAGTCCATCAGCAAATAGATATCTTGTGCATACACTGGGCACTAAATATTGATCACCTGATCATGTCCTGAGCGATACAAAACTCGCATTTGCTTGTCCTAGTGATTACGAAGACTAACCAGCTGCCAACATTCGCTTGTTAGCACTCCTCACGGGAACGCATGCAACAGCTCTCTGATATTTTGTCCTCACCCACAGAAACCCATTTCTTTTAAATAATAATTGCATATTTTAAATTTACAGCACAGAAAAGATGCTAAATCATGCCAGTCTGTGGCAGACAGTGGACGTGTGATGACCGTTTTTAGCGTTTCGGAATTATGTACATCGTCGACGGACTCTCAGAAGACTCGTGCTGGGAGCTACAGAAAGCTCTGCAACAATGTACTCAGGTGACGATTGCACCAAATTAAATTTAAAATGTAAACTTATGGTCCAGTGATGCAGTAACTTCGACATGGTGGTAAAATACCAAACTTACTCACATGAAAAAATAAACTATGTGACTATAATTTCTTTTACAGAAACCCGGGAGTTTGTCAGACAGCTTGGTCTTAGCTGAGGCGCTGATCATCAGCTTACGTAGCTTCAATCCGACGAAAATACGAATTGAGAGCCACCGCTCAAACGTACCGAAGCCAAACATCGGGCAAGAGATTACTGCTTCTAAACTCTTTCAGCTACCTCGAGTTCTCCAAGTAGACAAACCACAAAGCATTATTAGTTGCATGAAGAGCAATAAAAAAACGAACTCGGGAGCGAATTCTAAGAGAGAAATGAAGGCTTCGATTAATTCATATGCCGGGCGGATGTGTTGTCACGAAACTCCCAGCGACAGACGTGAGCACAAAAATGGCGCACTAACGTTTAGCATGGATTTCGGATATTTCATTGAAGTGGTTGTGACAGCACTTGAACATCTAATGAATGCTTGTAAAAAAGCGAAGAATAATATCGAAAACTTGCAGGTAATTCATCGATTCACGAGACTTGAGATATCATATAAAGCTTGAGTAGGCTGACAAGAGTTGCTCATAAGTCTGGGCTCGTTGGTTAAATTCAGTCTTTCATCCCTAATGAACTGATGAAATATTTGTAGAGAATATTATTTGTATGTGATATTAACGTGAAACATGTGACCAGATGATGCTGGAGTGCCTGCAGCAGTCCAAATGCCAGGCACGGCAGTACGATGCAGCGATCGAGAGCAAGCGAGAGCTGCAGCGCCAACTGGACGACGTTATGTTGCTCGCGCGCCTCAATCACCGCGAGATTATCAAGGTGATATGATATGATATATATATTATAATGATATGATATATAATATAATGATATGATATGATATAAATTTGTCCGACACCTGTCTATTCTTGCGGTTCACACTTTGGTACGTGTAATGTGAGCCCTTCCGTCTATACAAGCTGAGCAATTTCTGTTCTGAGACAAATTGAATAAAATACATGTCAGGGAAAAATCTAGGATACTATCGGTTCTTGGGAAAATTTCCTATCCTGGCTACTTGTAAATTCCTATGAAGAAGTAGAGCTTACTCTGTCTATATAAGACAGAGGCGCAGCTCTCAAAAGTAGCTACCTTAAATGTTCACGTCTCTCATAAAGTTTTCAGCGGTCCTATCTGTTCCCATTTGTTCTTTTTTGCGCCATATTTTCTTTTAACAATAGACAATCAAAATGGGCAATCAACAATCGACACTCAAAAATTTGTAACACTAGAAACTCAAATTTGTTTAACAATTGATACTCAAATTGTTTAACCATTAACACTTGACTGATCAGAAAAGAGATTAGTTTGAGAACATAGCAACATAATTGACTGATTGAGGTTGTTTTTCCTTCAAAAACAGCTTAGCATGTTTAACCTTTATAATATTCTGCATTATAGCTTACGTGGAGAACAAACTTTATTAAAACTGAATTATATCACGAACAATCATGATATTACTTCCTTTAATCGATGATGCTTAATCTATATAAAAATACTGTATATAATAGTGGATGATCTGAATTAATATAGGCAATAAAATGAAAGAAATGATGCTGCACGACGATGATGATAACGAGGATGATAGCGATAATGATTGGTAGGAGCAGTAGAGATCATCAGCTGTGGCAGTAGAGATCATCAGCTGTGGCAGTAGAGAACATGTGACGTCACACGCGCGCTGCACAGCAGACAGTGACGTCTCAACGCGCATGTGACGTAACATGCCCGTTGTGACGTCACATGGAGTTAAGCAGAAACATTCTTCACAACGGCAGTCTTGGTACCTGAAATTGAGAACACATACTGATCCTTCCAGCGATATACTGGGCCTAGCACACTGGCCTTAATAATTAATATACTGGTCCTAACAAGCTGCTTAGACTGGTACTTCTTATCTCTAAGCGAGCATTACTTAATAATACTGATAAAAACTGAATATGCTGACAGTGTTAGTATCAGACCCACAGGTTTTGTTAGTGGTTAGTTCTATTTATGAGATCAGTCGATAATAGATTATGAGATAAGAAATCATTAGTCACAAGATATACAAAACATCCATGATTAACAAAAATGTGCCCACAGCATTAATTATTATATTCTGGGTCAATGCAAATTTAAAAATCGGCCTCAGATATGCCGGCCGTTCCTCCCTAAGTCCCTACATCCATATTACTCGAAGGCAAAAATGAAAAATTGTCATTAGCTAAACATCACGGTTGGGAGGTTAGGTTTGTATATTCAAATTTTCATTCAAATCTGTTCAGCGGTTTAGAAGAAATTTCTTGGCCACTGAAAATTTCGACCCGTATTGCTGTATAACTCGCGAATGTAATCGACACAGCAAAAAATTCGAAAGCAGAAGTAAGATCGAAAAAATTATCGTAAGCTAAACATCACCGTTGGGGGGTTATGAATGCATGGGTAAACATGGGAATGCGTCTCCAAAGTTTCGTTCAAATCTGTTCAGTAGTTTAGAATAAATTTCTTTGTCTCTGTATATTTCGGACCGAATTGCTCTATAACTCAGGACTGTAGGTGAAATGGAAAATTTTTCACAAGGTAAACATCACCGTTAGGTCCTACTGATTACGCATGGTGGAACAAGTATATAGTTCAACCATGCAGAATAAGTGTATCAATTTTCTGCTACGCTCATAAGTTTGGGAGATATTCCTTGGCCTTTGAATTTGGAGAATGGCAGTGAGACCGGCCGTAAATTTGTCCGACACCTGTCTATTCTTGCGGTTCACACTTTGGTACGTGTAATGTGAGCCCTTCCGTCTATACAAGCTGAGCAATTTCTGTTCATGAAAGATTATCAGTTACGTATTTTTCTCTCACAAAAACTGCCCAACACAAGATATTCCCGACAAAAGTTAACTGCTGGCCTAGCTGAACCAAAATTGCACATGAGGAATGTACTGCATTGAATATAAGTTTCAGTTCGGTTCGCCGCCGGAGCGGCCTACACAACGACTGAATTTCTGACGATGCTTACCGAGCTGCAAAAATTTCTTTCATGTGAATTCTTCAACCATTGCTATTCCAGAGAATTTATAGCGTTTCTGCTATAGGAGACAAATTTACTTTCGTAATTTTTTTTTCATAATCGAACGTTTCTGCACCATTAAGATGATATCCATGGGCCTATCTCTTCAACGCCGACATTTCTATTCTATTCTATAGTCTGCTAGCACTGAACAAATGACGCCTGCTCATGGCTAACTTCCTTATTTACGAGCTCAGCCGCTGTCTCTGCACTAAAGCTACACTCTTTTCCCTAAAATAAAATGTTCAGGGCATTACCAACTTCTGGACATGAGTTCATGTTGACACATTCTGAGATTTGCGCCTGGTGAAACAGATTTTTTTCCCTGCACTCATTCCTTTCGTCATAAACTATAATACTTTTCTTCACAACTCGATTTTTCCAGTCTAGTCGGATTAACTTGGAATCCAGAGCACACCTATGATACTTCAAATCTTTAATAGTAATTGAAGTAGCTGAAAATTTTCAGTTGCATCATCTCATCGATTAACTTTACTGTTAATTTTGATGTGTACTGAGGGTGTATTCTTCTTTGAAAAAAAGAATCATGAAAAACTAATTTTTTTAGAATCATAGAGTTTAGAATTTATTATGTTTGGAACGATGCATCTCTCTGGAGAGTGGGGATACTCCTCAAAGGAAATACTTTACCAGCTTATTTAATTAAAAGTTTGTAGACCTGAATTACGTTAGAGATAGCAGTAGGCACAAATTTATTGTCTGATGATAAATGACTTGGTCAGCTCAAGTTGGTTAAATCCCGTTCCAAACATACTCATGCAAATGTACATTGTTGTCATCCACATATAAGTTGCCGCACCGATGAAGTGCTTAGGTTTTTGAAAAGTTTACAAGTTGGAAAATAAATCCGATTTGCCATCCATAATGACTTGCTGAAAGCAAGACGCGTGTAAACCACTGGCTTAGACATTTTCTGTGCTGACCTAATTGTCTTCTAAACTCCGTTCGAACAGCGTATTCCTACAATCATTCCGTTGGGCGAGTGCAGCATTCGATTCGATAAAAAGTTTTTGTTTTTATAATATCATGCACAAAGTCTCAATGATTGCACTTAACACCGACCAAGCGCGCTTAGTTGTCACTTATGCGCCCTCTGGTTAGTATTGTACAGTAAAATAATGGGCTAAAAAATAGGCCAAGTTTATGAAGTTACTATCTTCATGCTATATATTTTTCTCCGCTCAATCGCATCAAGTAGTGCTTATGACTCGAATCCAACAATCGGGCTTGAATAAGGTACAATGGTTACCGAACTATGGGCCACTTTCTTTGTGGGCAATATATAGATTTTTCCTGGGATGATGTACGAGTGGAAACCAAATTACAATATTTATTCATTCAACTTAGCAATAGATGATACCGTTTTTGTATCATTATTCTAAAATGTAAAACACGATCCTGCTGAACATTCATATAAAGGGCTTAGCCCCTGAGATCTCTTTATTCCTCAATTGCTTCTCTCATGACGAAAGGTGTTAGTTAACGAGATGCCCGTAAAAACTTTCTTTCAGGAGTAGAAAATTTTTCGAGGGCAACTAAAATCGAACGGGCAACACATTCTGTTTGAACTGTGAATTGGCTCCAGCAGCCAACTTTATTAGTGCTTGAAGGAGAACGTGATAATTAATAAAATAAAAGGAGAATAATAATTGTACACGACATTGAAAAAAATTTACTAAACGAGAGGCAAGATTTATTTATTTCATTCATTTTCCGTTACATTTGTGTAAGAAAAACTGTCCCAAAATAACGATGTATAATTTATTATTCGTTTAATAAATTTGCTGATAAATTTTCAATTTTTGTTCAATTTAAATTCTATTAACTGATATTTTTGATGAACACGTAAATCCATCCGACTGAAATGAGTAATTTAAACGAAATAAGTACAAGGAATGAGCCTGCGCATTCGGCTCCAATCAGCAATACTGATACTTTTATTTCAAAATATTTCAGTGTGCGCGCCTCTCATACATGGAGATTATTTGCACGTTAAATGAAAATTTATCAGTTAAAGCTCTGCTACATACGTGAATATATATGTTACCCAACAATGGGGAAGGGGTACGGGGTCTTTGCCCCTACCCACCTCTTTCCTCACAGAGAATAGCAGCATCCTGAGCCGTGATCTGTAACGAAGCGCATCTTCCATGCATCATTCGTATATATTCAACAATCTGCGGGCTTTTCAGCCTCCAAAATTATTTTTCTCTACACTACAGAAAACTCAAAAACATTTATTGGCTTGATGGTTGAGACCTTGTTTATGGATACTGATGACATACGACGTAGTACTAAGGCAAACTAATGTAGACGTATTATCCCTAATTCTCCCACTCCGAACATTCATCAAGCTTCATCACTAATATAAATAAAATATACGTTTAAAAATTACTTTTTAAAGATAACACTTCTAAAGATTCCAGTGTCTCCAATTTTACAGTTGTACAATGAATTTCTCATTTTATTGTCGGATATTAAAAAAATTAATTTTTCAATTTTTTTATATATATAATTTTATTCAAAATTATTTATTTTGTCAATTGATTCATGCATTGCCTCCGACTTCTACAGGCGGAGGAGGCTCTACAGGCGGAGGTGCAGACGACGCTGCAGCTGAGGCGGGACAGCGAGGCCCTCACAGCGCGCCTCCTGCAGGTGCCTCTTGCGTGCTGTCCTGTAGGGCGGATGGCTGCACTCGTCGTGTCTGAATTAAGTTGTACTTAAGTAGCACGTCACTTCTTATACTTGTCTTACTTATATTAAATAATAGTTAAGTAGCATCATATTAGTCCTGTTTATCTCGCTTAAGTTAAGTAATACTTAAGTAGAATCATGTTAATCCTGCTTATTTTCCTCAAACTAGGTAAATATTTAGGTATAACTTCATTACTCTTAATTGCTTGTCTTGCTTTTGCTTAAATCAGGGAGTATTCAAGTATAGCACCGTATCACTCCAGTTTGTCTTGCATAAGTCTGGTAATATTCAAGTATCACCGTATTTCTCCGGGTTATCTCGTCTAAATTATTATATTTTAAGTAGCACCGTATTACTCATGTTTGTCTTACATAAATTAAATAGTATTTGAGATGTACCGTAATACTCCTGCTGGACTGGGACTATACTGTACATGTTTCAAAGTCGTTCAGAAGGCGAGAGTGTACCATCTTTTAATACTCATTTTATTATGCCTTAATTCGATTGTCCTACTTAAGGGCAGATTATAATTCCAAAATTACGAGACTGGGGGCTTTCATTTCTGGACAGGCAAAGGTGGAGGCGGCAGGCTGCCGCAAGCGCCTGCTCAGATACGAGGGACCGGACAGGCTTGCGGACCCGGAACTGCTGGCTATAGCCTACCAGAAGTGCAAGTATGATCGTGCTGCTAAATGTAAAATTTCTTCAGCTAAGTTTTTATAGGTGAATGAAATACTCAGTGTTGATAACTCGCTTATGAATAATGAATGGATAGTAATAGATCTCTGAGATCGCCATGAAGAGCCAAGGTGAATAACCATCCAATGAATGAATGGCCAAATTTACCGTTCGATGATTTTATTTTGTTGTCAGGCGTAAAGAAACTAAACCAGGAATTTATAATATATATCCCGGAGATATTTTTCGGTGGAAACTTATTCTATTGTCCCGGCTGCGTCTGGATACTTTACTGAAACTGAAACTTCAAAACTATTGCCCTCAACAAACTATCATTCTGAATTCAGAATAAAAAAGTAAACGTTAATTTTATTTCTTAAAATGCCTGCAAATAGTCTAACACAGCTGTATCGCCCTCCAGGGAGCAGCTGTCGCGCAAGGAGCAGCAGGTGCTGCAGCTGACGGTGGCGCACAGGGACGCAGTGCCGCGCGCGCAGTACCAGCGCAGTCAGCGCAAGCTCGCGGACGTCGCCGCCGCGCACGCTGCGCTTACGCACGCGCACGCCGCCCTCCTCAGGGAGCACCGCGCGCTGTCTGGTGAGAACTCATGGAACTTGATCTCGGCAGTATTGTTAGAATAAGATAAGATTTAGACCTCTTGCTAACTTAATATTGTACATATTGTCATCCGTAACAATGGTCAGTAACAATGGTCAGTAACAACAAAAATCATAGTCAAACGCTGCAGCAATGAGCACTATTTGTTGCAAGGTCGCTAAAACGGACAAAAATTGTGCCAGCCTGAGGTCAGTGAGTGCCACTGATCAATAAGCATAGGCTGAGTTAGGAAATCCGAAAACAATACAATAAATTAACCTGAAGTCATCAAGTTTCAAGCAAAACATTGCATGAGACTGAAGCCTATACGAATTAAATAAACCCACCCATCTTGCCTACGTCGTAAAACGGTTTAAAGCGAATGACGATCGCTGAGTTCAGATGTTTTATACGACAACCATCTCAGAATAGACGTTTTGAAGTTAGTTCTATACAGTATAACTATCACGATGACCGACAACTGGCTAATTATTCCCCCATGTTTTAAATTATAATTTCCCCCACACTGCAATAATCGAGCCGTCGTGTGCAGCGCAGCAGCAGAAGGCGCTGGTGGAGCGCGACCGTCTGGCCACTGAGAACAGCAGCCTGCGTCGCAGCGCCACGCCGCGCCCTGCCTGGGACAGGTGCCCTGACTCACCAGCCTTGTCATGCCACCGTGTAGCGGTGCCTTGACTCACCAGCCTTGTCATGCCACCGTGTAGCGGTGCCTTGACACACCAGCCTTGTCATGCCACCGTGTAGCGGTGCCCTGACAACCAGCCTTGTCATGCCCCCGTGTAGCGGTGCCCTGACTCACCAGCCTTGTCATGCCCCCGTGTAGCGGTGCCTTGACTCACCAGCCTTGTCATGCCACCGTGTAGCGGTGCCTTGACTCACCAGCCTTGTCATGCCACCGTGTAGCGGTGCCTTGACACTCCAGCCTTGTCATGCCACCGTGTAGCGGTGCCCTGACTCACCAGCCTTGTCATGCCACCGTGTAGCGGTGCCCTGACACACCAGCCTTGTCATGCCACCATGTAGCGGTGCCTTGACACTCCAGCCTTGTCATGCCACCGTGTAGCGGTGCCTTGACTCACCAGCCTTGTCATGCCACCGTGTAGCGATACCTCAACTCGACGCGTTGTGAATAAATTATAAATAAAAAAGCAGAGAAACCATCTGTTCAAAATTTAGAGCAAGCCAAGTACGTTTATATAATTCAATGAATATCAAGCTATAAATTCAGTAAGGTTTCGTAATGCACAATATGTTCTCACAATCAACAGGCTGTAACATATTATACACTCATTCACTACGTTGAGTCCACAAATAACTATTGTATTGTTCATTATTGTTTGAATTACATACTTAATGAGTACCACAGTTACATCTCACAAGCTTCATACAATGTATATACAGAAGCAAGGAGTAAATAAGCTAGTGCAAGTTTGTCAGGCGAGCACGCATAGACGTACTTAATTAACGTTAAAAACTCGGTATGCGCGCATAAGAAAATTAAATTTGAAATATTTTAATTATGCATTACACTCTACGAGCACGCAGGGTGAGCGAGCACCTGGAGGGGGGCGTGGCGACGTGGCGGGAGGTGAGCCAGGACTGCCACACCAGCGAGGACTTCCTGACGGCGCTGCTGACGCACCTCACCGCCGTCAGCGTCACGCACGCCCATGAGTTCCTCACCGCTAAGGTACGAGGGTCTCGTGTGTAATGTGCGTCATGAGCTACACAGTGCGACCACCTTTATCGCTAAGGTACGAAGGTCTCGTGTGTAATGTGCGTCATGGGCAATACAGTGCGACCACCTTTATCGCTAAGGTATGAAGGTGTCGTGTATAATGTGTTTCATGAGCAGCACAGTGCGACCACCTTTATCGCTAAGGTACGAGGGTCTCGTGTGTAATGTGCGTCATGGGCTACACAGTGCGACCACCTTTATCGCTAAGGTACGAGGGTCTCGTGTATAATGTGTTTCATGGGCAATACAGTGCGACCACCTTTATCGCTAAGGTACGAGGGTCTCGTGTATAATGTGTTTCATGGGCAATACAGTGCGACCACCTTTATCGCTAAGGTATACGAGGGTCTCGTGTATAATGTGTTTCATGGGCAATACAGTGCACCCACCCTCACCGCTCAAGTATGAAGGTCTCGTGTTATGCGTCATGGGCAACATAGTGCGACCACCTTTATCGCTAAGGTACGAGGGTCTCGTGTGTAATGTGCGTCATGAGCTACACAGTGCGACCAGACTCACCGCTAAAGGCCCTTTTCCACTATGAGACTCTGCGCGACTGACGCCTGAAAAACTGTTTTATCAGTTCAGACTGAGGCAGTCCCGACCATCGAGACTGGCGCAACGCTGATTCAAGCTGTGTTCAATCTTCGACTAGAATTGAGCCACATGCATGTGGGATTAATATGCGCTATGAGCTACATAGCGAAGACACCGGACACTGTAGCGCCATCATAACATCGGTTGTGTAGGATGTTAATTCAAGGAAATCTTCTCATGACATGGAAGGTTGGCCTATATACTTTAACAGGAACTTAGGTCTGAGATTTAAACAATTCTTTGGCATCGATGGCGTTAAGATTGCTAAAAATAGACATGCTTCCTTCATTGCTTAATGGGAACAGCGTTGATAAAAAAGAACACAATTCACTCACATCGCTTCAAACATTTTGCCAAATCAAGCGAGCCAGTTTGACTCAAATTGAACCAGCTTTAAGCCATTTGAACCTGCTTCGGACCGTCTGAACAAACCTTACACCATTTGGACCAGCTTAGAACCGTTTGAATTAGATTTGAAAAGTTTGAAGCGGCTGCGAATCACATTAACTAGTTGTGAACCGCTTAAACCAGCAATAAAAATGAACAACCATCTATCTGGAACCTTATTTCCTATCATTATAATCAACAAACCGCCTCGTTTATGTCACTTGATTAAATTAATTCTTCTACGACAAAATTCTTGTACATTTCCAAATGAAATATTAACTAAATCATCCTCAGGGAGTTTCGGAAGAGGTGCCCGAGTATCTGCGCTACGAAGGTGTCGTACGCAACAGGCGCCTCACGCTGCGCGACGTGCAGCGCGTCATCACGCACGTCTGGCAGGAGAAGAGAAGTGCCCCAGGCACCAGGGCCATGCCTATGGACAAGTACCTCGCCATGTATTTCGAACACAGGTGATTTATAAAAGACGTAATATAGAGGATATGTGCTACTACTTTATTCATGGACAAATACCACCGCAAAAAAAAAAATTCGAGTACAAGGGATGGGAAACGTGGTAGAGGTATCGATATGTATCGATACTTTATTCTTGGATATGTACTATCACCAAACACTACGAATACAGGTGATGAATAAAGATATTAGAATGATTTTATTAATGGATAAATGCATTGTCAAGTAAGTCAATCGCAGTCAAATAATTTAGTATTAGTGACAAAAAAGTGATTATAATTAGCAGTCGGAATAAGGAATTACAGCAGATAAAACTTGTACGTTAATTCGTTACTAGCCAATTATAAACAACAGTACACTTGGGATTTCAGGTAACTGTTGGAGTTCAGCATATGATATGGGGTTTTTTGCTATCTTTTGACATTTGCCCGAGTTTCATGATAAAATATTTAAGACAGGTGAACCATTAATGCCGCCTGAGAACTTTGTCTCCCTTATTGTACCATAATGAGCCCAGCTGAGAATGGTTGGCAGGTACCATCTACCTGAGATGAGAGCTGAATGGTGCTACTCCTTAGCAGACGCCTGCCAGCGACTAGCACACGACGACCAGGCAAGCACCTGTACCACACCAACCTGTTAACACCAACGCACTATCATGCATATCATGGCACCTTTGTGCGTATATGAAATAGAATTTTTGACGGATTGAAATACAAAGATATCTTAAGTTCATTCACACATGATCATAAGATCAATATAACTTATTTCAAGGTGGCTTCAATGACAGTCGTTGACTTCTTTAAATATCCAAGTTTTTATGAAGAGAAATGCAATCAAGAGCAGCGTGTTGTCTCGGTAAAAAGATATCTTTTCTTTCGATGTTAGACTCGCCAACATCGCTTGCAGGAGAAAATTATTTAAAGGAATTTCAAAAGTTGTGTGTTTTTTAGGAAATGAGACAGGTCGAAGCTAAGAGATAAAACTATCTCATGAGCTAATTAAGAGCTCTGTTTATTAGGTTTTTGGTAGTTGAACAATTATCATGAGGACATAAGCTATATATACTCATTGTTGGTAATTCATAGATTTGCCACAGAAAAACTAATTATACCTGCAGAAGATTTCTAGTTTATGAGACTCCTTGTTGAAATTTGATTTTAACTGAAGATTCTAGAGATTCAAAAGCTTTAATGGCCATTATATCATTGACGAAAGTTACGTAGTTATGATACAAGCGAAGTTCATGCAGCAGACAACCCACGCACCATGAACAGGTTGGCCTCTTCTGGGGCATCGCCACCGGGCAGGTGGAGGAGGCCGTCTACCACCACCAGGCAGACACCGCAGAGGCCCTCCTGGCCACCTTCAGAAACAATGATATTCTTAACAAGGTGGCGACCAATCAATCGAGTTTTTGTGGTATCCTAAAGATTCTATTCTAATGATATTCTTAACAAGGTGGCGACGAGTCAATCAACTTTTAGTGGTATCCTAGAGATTCTATTCCAAAGCTATTCTTAACAAGGTGGCGACGAATCAATCGAGTTTTAGTGGTATCCTAAAGATTCTATTCCAAAGATATTCTTAACAAGGTGGCGGCCAATCAATCGACTTTTAGTGTTATCCTAAAGATTCTATTCCAAAGCTATTCTTGACAAGGTGGCGACCAATCAATCGACTTTTTGATGGTATCTTAAAGATTCCATTCCAAAGCGCAGGGTTGGATCCTCGAAATTTTCTATTGGTGCAAAATCAAACTAGATGGTAGGTATGATGTTGATCACATTATCCTTCTCGAGTAGAATTAATGACCTTTACTAGGAGGTGGAAACCTATACATAGAAATTCAAAAGATGGCAAGCACACAGCGTGCCCTTTGAGAAGTAGGACGTTATTCTCTACAATTGAAGTTCCTTTACATACCTCTAAGTCATAGTAGTTTCCATTTCTTATGATGCTTAGAAACTAATTAAAAATTGGAAATAATGAAACAATAATTAATAGAAATAAATGACCTATGTTCACTTTTCATATGATACTTAGAATTAAACTGAAAATTGGAAAGGATAAAACCTATGTAATAAATAGCAATAAATGAACTAGAGAGCCTTGGCAGGGCCTGGTCTCGCACACGACGGTGCTGGTGGTGCTGCGGACGGTGTTCCCACTCAAGGACGAGGAGAGCTTGGACGACCTCCTGTCGTCTGCTAAGGCTATTGCAACATCCAGGAAGGATGCCACAAAAATCAAATATGCAACACTATTTAAACAGGTAAGCTGAACCAATCCTAATTTAATTTACAAGAAACCTTATTATACACTGTTAGAAAAAACGGTCCCATGCACTGGCGTTCTAGTGGCTGGTCGCCCCGTGAAAATAAACTGTTTCGCCGTTTTTATCAGATGTTTTACGGATTTCTAGTGTTAAATTAGAATAAAAACGGCAACACGGTATTTCTTTTCACGTGCCGACCGGTTACTGAAACGACGGTAATACCGTTAACGGTAATTTTTCTAACAGTGTATGGACAGCCTAAGTGTAATGCCATCCTTGAGCAAGAATTACTCTCCATGATGGTTGCTGTTTTGAAATATTTTAAAATCCCATTGTGAAAATACTGAGTATAAATAGCAGATAACTAATCCCGAAACGTCGTGAAAATATATTCAATTAACAAATACCAGGGTATTGGTCATTTAGTTCAGTCAGACTGATGATGTCCGCGTGGAGGGTCAGAATATTGTAGAAGGATTCAAATATTAGACAAGTTTAATTGAGAACCGAGAGTGAGTTTTATTTATAATCTTCTTCATATTTTTCTCAACAAGTCGAACTATATTTTTTGCGGGCATGTAAGAATAAGACATATTATTTTGCTGTTTTTAGATTTCGTTTTTCGTACGTTAACGAAAAATATAGTTTGATTTGTTGAAAAAAAAAAAAAAAAAGAAGAAGAATATAAATAAAACTCATTCTCTGGTCTTCAATCAAACTTGAATGAACAAATTCGGCCGTCTAAATCAATAAATTCTAAACCAGTATATATAATTTTACATGGCCACCTAATGATGCCCAAACAAGCGACTTTGGCAAAAAAAAGAAACATTCTGGTTACCTTGCGACGACTGACAATATATAAATCATAAGCCATGTACCCAGCCATGGTATCTTATACTCTCTATCTTGATGCAAACTTTACAGAAAGAGAAACATCACGAGAAAGCAAAATAAATACAACGGTAAAGGAATAATTACTAGGACATACTATTATGAATCTAGTTTTTATTTCGAGAAATACGTAGAGACTAATTTTTTCCTATAAATCTATGAATCTAGTTTTAATTTCGTACAAGTTAAAAGAAATGCAAAGGGGACTAATTTTTTCATATAAATCAGTCAGCGGACGGCTCCGTAAGTCCGTTCCTGCAAGAAGTTTACCAGCAGGCGCGGGACGAGCAGGAGCAATACGTGCAGGATGTGCTGCAGGAGTTGGGGCAACATGGTATACATGACGTCAAACTGCAAGACCTGCAGCGAGCCTTCACAGTGGTTGACCCTGCTATAGGTGGTGGCCTGGAGCTGGCGATTGTGTTTTATACTTGCATTAAAAACTAATTTAAACAAATTAATTACAGAATTTGAAATTGAAGATAAAGATAGAATTTTTTCTACGTATCCTAAATCTCGTCAAAAAATAATGACCATTTTTATCCTTGTTTCGTCAAATTGTTTGACGAAATGTGAATAATTTCTATTAAAAGCTTATGAATAAATGTGCGACGCTACAATTATTAGGTTTTAAACTGCAGCTTAGGCTGCAAATAGCGTACAAATTTACGCTACCGGTTGAGTACTATTATAAACATAAGTTCATTTCATTTAAATTAATAATTTTAGGATCAAATCTAACTGCGTATTTTTCAGACTCGTATCAATAGAAAATCCACCTCCAAGGTTTCTTACAGGTCCCAAAGTTTCTTGAAATAAATGGCTTACATTCTCGGCGATGTCGGTTCACGATTGTACTCACGTGACGTCAGATGACCTCTGACCCACAGAGCAGCAGCAGCTGCAGCAATACCTGCAGTGGGTCTACAGGGGGGACTCTGCAGTGCGCCTCCCGCTGCAGCTGCTAGCAGCGCGGCTACAGACGGGCCACATAGTGCGGGTTGGGCCAAGGCCCACATAAATGTAGCTGCTGGCCCGTGCATCTGAACCAACACCCATACGTCTGACCCAACAGATACGGCAACAACAAATCGAAGAAACAAGGACGTAAATAACAACCATCATTAGAATGTGCATCATATATTTGTGCTTTGTTAAAAGAACCGTAAGTTGCACATAGAAATAATCAATAAATGAAAATATTATCGTACAAACATTTCTGCCTGAGATGGTTATACTTTCAAGACGTTAACAAAAAATTACAAGAGCTTGAATTACGCATTAAAATGTCAAGTTTTGAGTAAATTCTGGAAGCGTTTCTTGGGTTAGAACTAACTAGATCAGACGCAAGACATCGCTTAATTAAAATAGAAAAGAACTATTTTAGGATAGATCGCTGTAATTAGAATAGAATAGAACTATTTTATCTGGTTCAAATACAATTTGAACGAAAGGTAGTTCAATAATTTGTTTTACTTGTTACTTTTTCTGATTTTAATCCTTCGTCATTGAAACGGCCAAGTAGACGTAAGCCATTGAACAGACTTGTCTCAGAGTTTGACGAGCGAGTATACAATGAAATAGCACAGCCGCCTCACAGTTTCATATTAGTCCCGATGCTTGAACTGTAAATGCTCGATCGTATCCTGACCGAGAGCAGTGATAGGTAAACTATTCGAGTTTGCATTTTATTCAACTGAGTACTAGTATAAAGGTGACAGTATTATATGCTATTTCAACAATAAATGGAATTAAGATATATTCGTAAACGAGTTAATAGGAGTGTGTGCGAAGTGACTGCATCAATGAACAACAATGACGCGAGTTGCTGTGGGACGAACGAGCGCGAGCAGTCGAGCCGCCCGAGCAGCAGTTGGTTGATATGAGAGACGCGCTTAAATAATATTCTTACACCTTAAACATTCTTATGATTTGTGACAAAAAACTATTGAGCTTTTAATTCCGTGTCACATAATTACTTCGGCTAAAAAAAAACGGCAGAAACGAAAGACGAATGGTGTTTCGACAGACGTGAGACTGCAGTCCACGTCGGTTGTAGAGCAAAATACGACGGAAATTGTACCAAACAAGTGTGTCATCAGGCAAATAAACTACATAAATTCACCATAAAATAACAATTGGGTGCAGAAATGCAGGAATATACCCAAAATTACAGTGAGCAATTCTATTACAGAATGTGAATAAAGGCCGAATGGCATCTCCAGGAACGGATGTGAAATAGGACGAGCTTGGACGAGAAGTCGGTCAAAATCTCGCAACGTGTGACTACACGAATAAACGAGGTGCTGAACTTTATGCACTGTGAACTAAAGCATAATAAAAGTTTAATTTATAACAAGAATACACGAGTTTTTGCTATGAACGTATGTTCTTACATTCACAAACATTCGTTTTATCGTATATAATATAATTAACAATCTAATTAAAAGTAAAATGACCGAGACACTCGCAAGATAACAAACTTACAAACAATTGACTAGGAATTATTATAAGGCCACTACTCTTGCGGTAAACTATCAATGCTGGTGGTGGTAGAAGCCTCGAATGAAGTGGTAGCGGTTTGTACCAAATCCACTTTGGCAGTGGATTTAAAATCCAATAGAGACACTTTGGTAGATGATATAGCTCTCTTATCTCCACTTTCTAGTATGGTGTAAGATGAAGAGATTTTAACACTATTTAACGAACACTGTGTTGATTTAGGAGCCTCTGTAGAATTAGATGCCAAGTTCACGGTGATGTTCATTGCATCTCCGCCAATACGTATTTTCAAAGGGTCATTTTTGCCAGCACTAAACGAGGGCGAGACTTGAGGAGATTGCGACGTGGCTGGGATGGACGAGAAAGCCGTAGGAGAAGGAGGCGCTTCTTCCAAAGTAAACAGAGACGGAGACACGCTTCTCTCCGAGTGTGCAAGTCTAGGGAGACTGTCCTGTGACGCGTCATCTTTGTTGGGAGTCCCGGGATCATCCGAGGTAAACAGGGACTCCTGGAGTGACCAGCCCTTGTGACTCGATGCTTGGGACTCGGAACTTGAAGCTTTTGTGGAGAGCAAATCAGGTCTACGGGACGACGTAGTTGCGAGAGACGAGCCCGATGATGAGATCGTCGACTGTCTTTGGAACGCCCTTTTAGATTCGCCCAAAGTGCGGCTCTTGTTCTTACTACCAACATTGTCATCGGACGATACGGATATCGGTAGACGATTTCTAACCTCTTCTTCTTTAGGGGAGCTTAGGAATTCTTTCGGGATAGAAAAGGCGAAGTCCAATGACTGAGACTGAGACAAAGAAAGGGCTGGGGACGGTGCGGGGGCCAGAACGTGGGACAAGGCCCCACTGACGGTGTCGCGGGACGTCAGGTGGTACAGAGGCGCCGAGCTGAGGAGCAGCTCAGCTGCGTCCTCGCGACCCATTTCCTGCAGCTGCCTGATCAACGCGCCTGCAAAGGGAATTCAAAATAATCAACGGCTAGTTGACAAGTTTGCAGCGAAATTGAGTTAACACGTGGATGTTCATCCTAATTTAAGCAGTTGCTGCCGTAGTAAAGTGCTGCCCAAGCCGTACTATAGCAAAGATACTGATGACAGTCGTCTGCTGCATCCCAGTTCTACGTCAGCTCACCTACAGTAGCAGTGTCAGGAGCAGCGTCAGCCCAGGACGTCAGTACAGCTATGGTGGGTGACAGTCGCCTGCTGCCGCTCAGTTCCAGATGAGGCAGCTGCTGCTCCAGGCCCACGCGCACGGCCAGCACACACCTGCGGCACCGGAGGCAGAAGGTATAACATGCTTGTGTCACGACAGCTATACACCTCGACCTAAATCCATGTACACCTCAACCTAAATCCATGTACACCTCGACCTAAATCCATGTACACCTCGACCTAAATCCATGTACACCTCGACCTAAATCCATGTACACCTCGACTTAAATCCATGTACACCTTAACCTAAAACCCTAAGACCATCCAGGTAATTTGAACGCGGGTTTTGGAATGAACGAAATAATAGAATATTGAACACGGGAGATCAAATACACGACTCGCCGCTCCCATCTTGGTACCGCTTGGGCTCTGTACCCCTGCTGAGTATCTCGTCATGTATAATTCTCCTGAGAAAAATAAATTTTCTCCTTGCTAAATGAACACTTATGTAGAACCTGATTGAACGGAGATGGTACGATTGTAGACAAGAATTTAAAGCACATATGACGAACTTGCAAAATGGTGAGCAACTAAAGCTTGAAAAGATGAAACATGACTGCATAGCTCATGTGTAACTCGCACATGACACGCTGCAGAGCTACCAACCAGTCAGCTCCGCGCGGATGGGATGGGTCCAGCAGGGCTGCCAACTGCTGCAAGATGAGCGTGCACAACCGTAACACTGACACCTCAGCGCCAGTCAGCATCACGCTACACACCTGCAGAAGAGTCGGCATTACAGCATTAAGGCGTCAGCATTACAGTGCGCACGCCTGCGTACAGCGTCAGCGTCACGCTATACATCCCATCAACTCTAGGGCCTGCATTTCAACCCCTAACACTTTAACCCAAGGTTGCACTTCTAGCCTTAACACTTGAACCTCACTGAAGCACGACTAGCCTCACCACATCAACCCGAGCTGTTTGGGTGCATCAACCCGGTTATCTACATTACAAGGCGCGCATTCACCTCATCACCCCCATCACCTGGGGCACGTACACCTCATCACCCCCATCACCTGGGGCACGTATGTACATCTCATAACCCCCACACCTGGGGCGCGTACACCTAATCACCCTCATCCCCTGGGGCACGTACACCTCATCACCCCCATCACCTGGGGCGCGTCCAGCCACACGAGGCTGCTGAAGGTCTCAGAGGCGCCGGTGTAGGGGTTGCGCAGCGGCGCCTCGGGTCCTCCCTCGAGGGCTGCGAGGAACACCTCAGCGGGGGACCAGGCGTGGACGAGGCTCGTCAGCGGCGACGTCAGCTGACTGCCGCTTAGGATGTGCTTGTGTACCACGAGACCAGGGCACATCTCCAGCAGCACCTGAGGTACAGAGGTACATTAATGGCCAGGCACATCTCCAGCAGCACCTGAGGTACAGAGGTACATTAATGGCCAGGCACATCTAGAGCAGCACCTGAGGTACAGAGGTACATTAATGGTCAGGCACATCNTAGTGACACTAGTGGTCACGTCACACTAGTGACACTAGTGGTCACGTCACACTAGTGACACTAGTGGTCACGTCACACTAGTGACACTAGTGGTCACGTCACACTAGTGACACTAGTGGTCACGTCACACTAGTGACACTAGTGGTCACGTCACACTAGTGACACTAGTGGTCACGTCACACTAGTGACACTAGTGGTCACGTCACACTAGTGACACTAGTGGTCACGTCACACTAGTGACACTAGTGGTCACGTCACACTAGTGACACTAGTGGTCACGTCACACTAGTGACACTAGTGGTCACGTCACACTAGTGACACTAGTGGTCACGTCACACTAGTGACACTAGTGGTCACGTCACACTAGTGACACTAGTGGTCACGTCACACTAGTGACACTAGTGGTCACGTCACACTAGTGACACTAGTGGTCACGTCACACTAGTGACACTAGTGGTCACGTCACACTAGTGACACTAGTGGTCACGTCACACTAGTGACACTAGTGGTCACGTCACACTAGTGACACTAGTGGTCACGTCACACTAGTGACACTAGTGGTCACGTCACACTAGTGACACTAGTGGTCACGTCACACTAGTGACACTAGTGGTCACGTCACACTAGTGACACTAGTGGTCACGTCACACTAGTGACACTAGTGGTCACGTCACACTAGTGACACTAGTGGTCACGTCACACTAGTGACACTAGTGGTCACGTCACACTAGTGACACTAGTGGTCACGTCACACTAGTGACACTAGTGGTCACGTCACACTAGTGACACTAGTGGTCACGTCACACTAGTGACACTAGTGGTCACGTCACACTAGTGACACTAGTGGTCACGTCACACTAGTGACACTAGTGGTCACGTCACACTAGTGACACTAGTGGTCACGTCACACTAGTGACACTAGTGGTCACGTCACACTAGTGACACTAGTGGTCACGTCACACTAGTGACACTAGTGGTCACGTCACACTAGTGACACTAGTGGTCACGTCACACTAGTGACACTAGTGGTCACGTCACACTAGTGACACTAGTGGTCACGTCACACTAGTGACACTAGTGGTCACGTCACACTAGTGACACTAGTGGTCACGTCACACTAGTGACACTAGTGGTCACGTCACACTAGTGACACTAGTGGTCACGTCACACTAGTGACACTAGTGGTCACGTCACACTAGTGACACTAGTGGTCACGTCACACTAGTGACACTAGTGGTCACGTCACACTAGTGACACTAGTGGTCACGTCACACTAGTGACACTAGTGGTCACGTCACACTAGTGACACTAGTGGTCACGTCACACTAGTGACTATACTATTAATTATCCATTCAAGAGTCGGGAGCAGGGCCCCCCATGGCACCTGTGACACGGGAGCGCAGTTTAGACAGCGGGTGCAGCAGACTGCCCAGCTGCTGGTGCGTCAGCCAGCCAGGGTCCAGCACAAGGAGGTCCTGTGCAGCACCAGCCAGGTACACCAGCTGGCCCTGTAGCTGTAGCTGCTGCACCACCTCCCTCAGGTGGTCCTCGCATGCCTGCACGAGCAAACGTGACATTTTTAAGGATGAAATAAATTATTTTAATATATCACCAAAAGCCTCACCGAGAAAACGTGACATTTTAAAGCAGGGAATAAATTATTTTAATATTTCCCAAACCTAAGATGGAGTGCGCTATTAAAAAAACTACAACTCAGTACTCACTGCCAGTGAGTGACAGAGAGCGCACTTTCTCGTCGACGAAAATGTGAAGTCACGTCAGAAAGACTGACGGACGGACAAACAGACATGACAATAATGCATTTTTCCATAAATGAGAAAATGCGCTAAAAACTATTGGTAAAGAAATAAAAACTGTATCTAGAATAAATAATTATTATTCTTTCGGTGGAATGAGAAAAATGCTGCAGGAGGAATAAGAACAGCCCTGCCTAATTCACATCAAGAAATTTCAAGTTCGGGAATTCAAGTAACAGAAAGTTGAAGCGTCAAGGATCAAGTCCTCATCAGCAGCCGAGGTCTTCTAAATAAAATCCCTATCAGCAGCTGAGGCCCAGAGGTCCTCTAGAGCAAGTCCACATAAGCAGCTAAGGTCCTCTAGAGCAAGTCCACATAAGTAGCTAACGTCCTCTAGAGCAAGTCCACATAAGCAGCTATGGTCCTCTAGAACAAGTCCACATAAGCAGCTAAGGTCCTGTAGAGCAAGTCCACATAAGTAGCTAACGTCCTCTAGAGCAAGTCCACATAAGCAGCTATGGTCCTCTAGAACAAGTCTACATAAGCAGCTATGGTCCTCTAGAACAAGTCTACATAAGCAGCTAAGTCCTCACGAGTGGGTTGACCCTCCTGTGGACGGCGTCAACGAACTGTGTCCAGGACACCACAGGGAAGTCCTCGAGCTCGTCTCGCCACTCCGTCCACATGCGCGCCACCTGCCGCAGCAGCCCCGTGCCCGGCGGTGCCACCTGCGCCACAGTGGCGGATGTAATTAGAGGGCAATTATCCCTGAGATTAATCATATGCACATGGTTTACAGTTATATTTTCATTTATATTTTTTACCTTATTTTGGTCCAAAATTTATTCGCTGCACAATATTTTATCAATATCTATATTTACATAAATCCTTGAAACAGAATGGTAAATGGTTCAGCCAAAATGAACATCGCGATTCGCACTTCCTGATGTTAGTAAGGAAACGCGTAGTTCCCTAAGAATATTGAATAGCAGAAATAAAAAAATCTATCATAGATTCTAGCTACAATATTCAATCATCTTCCTTGTAGGTAAGGTTTCCTCTAATAATATTACCTTTATTGTCTAAGCTTATAGCTGGAGACGCGCATGGCAATATTCAATCATATTCTTTGTAGGTAAGTTTTCCTTTCATAATATTACCTTCATTGTCTACGCTTATAGATAGAGACGCGCGTGGCAATATTCAATCATCTTCCTTGGAGGTAAGGTTTCCTCTCATAATATTACCTTTATTGTCTACGCTTATAGCTGGAGAAGTTCATGGACAAACTTACCGCGGTCACGGCGGTCTTGACGTCCGCGAGGTACTGCCTCACGGCACGCACGGCAGCCGAGGTCGTAGTCGTGCAGTCCAACACGAACACTTCGTCGTGCAGCTCGAACACGCAATCGAACTCAGACTCCATCTTCGACTGGAAAATGTTTATTTTGTTAAATGAGTCAAAACTGAAGGCCCACTGGGCAGCAAAGGTTCTCATTTCACGATCAATCCGCGATTTGTAGATAGCACTAAGTATAATATAGTAGAGGTTAAAAAGTGAGTACATCGTACACTGAACAAGATTTAATGAAAAAAATTCCGAGATATTTTTTGTAATTCACGTTGAACTAGAATGCAATGGAAGTTATGGTTAATGAAGAGGCTGACCATCATTTATAACAAGCCAAGGAGCTAAGCAATGAAAGCCACGTACTGACAGGCGAGTTCAGGACCATGGATTAGATTCTATTGGCTAACTCGTCCGTTCAACTTGCACTGTAAAGTTATTATGAGTTATTGAAAATTATTGCTCAGAGAGAACCGACCTTTCAACACGAATTTCGAATACATTTGCGCCAATATTGACCGTGTTGCGCATACCTTTAATAATGTCACAAAGTAAATCTCTTCAATCATAAATTAAAATCCTCAAAATAAAGAATTGATGACAAATCCCACCAGAAGCAGAGCGGAGTGAGGGGCCAGGTACTCCCCCTGGGGCGTGCGGGGGCACTGGGCGACGTCTGCTTTTGTCCCCACGAGTCCAACGCGAGGGGCACGGTGGGGCCGCCCGCACACTCCTGCCCAGCGTGTGAGTAGCTCACAGGTCTCACAGGTACCACAACAGCCAGTAGAAGTAACCAAGCACACACAGGTACCACAACAGCCAGTAGAAGTAACCAAGCACACACAGGTACCACACTGTCTCTTATACACATCTAGATGTGTATAAGAGACAGGGGTACAGAGGTACATTAATGGCCGGGCACATCTCCAGCAGCACCTGGGGTACAGAGGTACATTAATGGCCGGGCACATCTCCAGCAGCACCTGGGGTACAGAGGTACATTAATGGCCGGGCACATCTCCAGCAGTACCTGGGGGTACAGAGGTACATTAATGGCCGGGCACATCTCCAGCAGCACTGAGATCCATTTGGAAAAGTCCATCCGGAAATATAAGCAAACAATTATTTTAAGCTTACTAAATAAACGACTGACTAAGATTCAGCATTCAAAGAATTCACCATAAAGCAAAATTAAAACTAAAAACATTCATTTTCCATCTTTTTAAGATATCTCGTAATGGCAGAGCGTCAGCAACGACAATTTCTGTGCGAAAATAACTTAATAAAACTAAGAAAGAAGGCTTACTCGCAGCACACCGTAAATGGGCATTCGGCTTGAAAGAGGATTCTATCCAAATGATTAACATTAAAATTAGGACACGCAAGACTTGACCAGCTACCGTGATCTGAACTAGGAGTACAGTCAGGGGGAGAGAACACAGCGAGACAGGAACTAAGAGTACAGTCACAGTGAGACCGGTAACACAAGTTCGTCATTTACCTTTCGCGTTTGGAAACCACAACAAGAACAGGAGCTGATCGCCTCGCAGAACTTACGTACGTTGGTTACTAATAATGTGACCGGGATAACCTCGCATCATGCCGCATCTACCATAAAGGACATGTGCTGCCCTGACGATTTCACATCTTAAAATTAATCCCAATGAAATTATAATTGAACTAATTATACTTATTATAGAAATAAGTAGACATAAAATCTAAAGCAGAACGGCGCATTCAATAAAAGATGAATAAACCAAGTTTTATCGTTAAGCTATAATTTAGTGAAATGTAATTAAACGAATTTTCGACAAAATCTGCACTGGAAATACTAACAGCATCGCTAATTGGGGTCGACGATGGCGATACATCAAAGGGAGTTGTCATTTTGGCATTTCTTATCATGACCTATTGACCTCATCAACGATAGCTACGACGCAACCATAACTAGTTACCGTAAAAAGAACTGCAACACGCACAAAACTCGGGCATATTTGTTGTATTTAAACTGTCCCAGTGGGACCAGCTGACCTTATCAACGATAGCTGCGACGCAACCATAACAAGTTACCGTAAAAAGAACTGCAACACGCACAAACTCGGGCATATTTGTTGTATTTTAACTGTCCCAGTGGGACCAGCCGACCTGGTCGACGATGGCGAGAAGGTCCTCGAGGAAAAAGAACGTTGCGCAGGCGGCGGCGCGAGGCCCCCGTACTTTGATCTCGATGGTCTCGCCCGCCTCCTCCAGGCTGGCCAGGCATTCCAGGGGCCCGCAGCAGAACTTAGACCCGCCGCCCCACTGGTACAAGTCGCTGTCCTGGTCTGCGCCGTACTCCAGCCAGCATCGTCGTAGCTGCACCTGCAAGGGGCCTGGTAATTAGGCCACTAACAATAGGATTGGCAAAATATATAGGAATAGTAAAGGATTGGGAAAAATATAGGAATAGTAAAGGATTGGGAAAAATATAGGAATAGTAAAGGATTGGGAAAAATATAGGAATAGTAAAGGATTGGGAAAATCGAGGGACCTATGTTCTCAAAATTAAAATTCAATTTTGCAATTGATAAATTTAATCTAATTTAGAAGACGCACAATGTTTTTTCAATATTTATAAATTATAAACGAGAGCAAAACGAAAGTCTCATCTTCCATATAAATTTTGGGTTTGTATGGGTCTTCATTTAATTAGAATTCGTAAACTTTGTTAAAAAGGGATTAGTGATTACGCTAATGACTGCACTGGGATTAAAAAATTGCCGGAATTATCAAGACAACCGGCTGGTATAATATTTCAAGTAAAACACAATTGTAATAATATTCCACTTGCAATTATATTCTGGTGATCATTTATATAGTCCTAAAATAAAAACTGGATACAATTATACGAATGAAAACACTTTACTACAGAGATTATTCAGTGTTGATAAAAATATCACAAACGTTCCGCTCTAATATGTTGATAAAAAATATCACAAACGTTCCAGTCGCACCTGAACTCTGGCGAAGACGGGCGCGAGATGCTTCATGTCGGGATACTGCGACTTGAGGCGCACGCCCCCGTAGACTGCGTCCGAGTAGCGCGGGTCCGTCTTGTCCCAGAGGCCGTCGAGCGTCTCCACGGAGTTGAACAGCGGGAACTCGTACTCGATGTCGCCGTCGTTGTCGCACTGAACAAAATCAAAGCACAATTATGACATACTTTTTGTTTAGTAGCCGTACTATCACAACAAGCTCAAGTACACGTACGTTGTCGCACTGAACAAAATCAAAGCACAATTATGACATACTTTTTGTTTAGTAGCCGTACTATCACAACAAGCTCAAGTACACGTACGTTGTCGCACTGAACAAAATCAAAGCACAATTATGACATACTTTTTGTTTAGTAGCCGTACTATCACAACAAGCTCAAGTACACGTACGTTGTCGCACTGAACAAAATCAAAGCACAATTATGACATACTTTTTGTTTAGTAGCCGTACTATCAAAAGTCGTTTAAGTACACGTAGCGGCCGATTTCTCGTCTGTGATTGGTGGGTCTAGCTAGAAAACCCTCAGTAATTGGCTGACGGACTTACGAACAGTTAACGATTTTTGATAGTGAAGCCCTAGGCGCACGAATGTTCGCATAAAACGCTGTAGAGCAAACACAAGGAAGAGGTCACACTGTACGACCTCACAGATTCATTGGAGTAATTCCCTATTTGTTACATTCGTTTGCCCCCCTTTGACCAAAATTACAAATATTCAACAATCAACGATTAGAAATTAAACATTTCTATGCTACCGTCGTTAGACTGCAATTAAAAATGGATTTAAATTTGCAAATGGCAGTTGGATTGAATAAAGCAATGGTTTCAAGGCGAACCTACGGATTTTTTTGCACTAAATTTCGGTAATTAAAATAGAGAAGATAAAAATTGTTCCAGCATCCACCTGCGTGCAGAGACTCAGCGCCTCCAGCACCCACCTGCGTGCAGAGACTCAGCGCCTCCAGCACCCACCTGCGTGCAGAGACTTAGCGCCTCCAGCACCCACCTGCGTGCAGAGACTCAGCGCCTCCAGCAGCGTCATGAGGTCCAGGGCGTCGCAGTGCGGGTAGCGCATCTGGAAGTCGTCCACCGTGAAGCAGCCTGAAGAAGAGGCGGTCACTTTAATCCTGACCTAAAATTTAGGTAAAAATTTCATTGGGGGTAGATATGAGCACGTGGTACGGAACTAAAGGCAGAAGTATAGTATAGTATCTCCAGCATTGAAGAATAGGCCTGGATAGGCCTGACATAAAATGAAGGTAAAATTTCATTGGGGTAGATATGAGCACGTGGTATGGAACTAAAGGCAGAAGTATAGTATAGTATCTCCGGCATTGAAGAAGAGCCCTGGATAGGCCTGTCGCCGATTATTGTATTTCAGAACATGATTGGAGCGGCAAGTCTTGGTCATGGTACAAAGCAGAAGAGAAAATGAACCAATTAACGTTTGATCAAAGTTAAATGTTGGCAGAAATATTACAGGGAAGAAGCACACGGTTTAGAATTTAGCACCTCGGTGTTCCCGTGATGCTAAGTTGATACAATAATATTTCCTATTTAATAATTATAACATTTCTCCAGATTACAAATCAGTAAGGAAAAAAATTTTAGTAGTGTCAGAGGAACACAATCTAAATTATTATCACTTCTAACGCATTCGAGTAACTTCCTTATTTGATTTTTTCTTGTTCATCATCGAAATAGCAACTTTTCGTCCATGTGACGTCAGTTAGGTCAAACGTATAAAGCTATGTAATTAGCCGAAAGTTTATTCAGAACAGAGAAAAGTCGCGGTCACGTTCTGCCTTGCCCTATTTCTGTTGCGAGCCGATAACAGGAGTGTATAAGCTCCGACATATAAACCTTCATTCCCATAAATTATAAGCCGTATGTAATCATCAAATAATACTCTATCATCCGTCTCACTGTTCCTCAATTAATCCTCGTATCACTACCGCTTGAACCAACCTCAGGTTATATATTCATTAGTTCTTGCCAAAGTTATAGATAGATATAGAAAAAAATCCTGACTTTTTCTGTGGCACCAAAGAGGGGTGGCACACTGTAAAACTGTAACGGTGAGAGGGTGCTTTGCTGCACGGCACCCCAGCTTTAATAATAATATGTATGACCTGAGGTTGGTTCGGAGGTTCGGTAAGTGGTAGTGGTGATACGAGGATTGATTGAGGAACAGCGTGACGATTAATAGAGTATTGTTGATAATTATTATAGCTTACAGTTTATGGGCATAAAAGTTTATATAAGACTAACTGAAGACGTGAAGATCATGACCTCGAAGTTGAGTATTGATTTTCGCTTTTGGTTTAATAATGTGATCCCAAACCTTTTGCCATCGTTGGTAATCGCAGTCCGTAATATTTTATTACATATAATATAATTATATACTATTACACATCACACTTAGTTACGGCACACTAGTGTCATTAGTGGTCACGTCACACTAGTGACACTAGTGGTCACTTCACACTAGTGACACTAGTGGTTACAACAGCCAGTAGAAGTAACCAAGCACACACAGGTACCATAACAGCCAGTTGAAGCAACCAAGCACACACAGGTACCATAACAGCCAGTAGAAGCAACCAAGCACACACAGGTACCGTAACAGCCAGTTGAAGTAACCAAGCACAACGTATCATACATAACTTGTTAAGGGTTGATAGGGTTGAGGTAGGATGAATTTGGCATCGCTTCAAATAATATAAATTTATTTAATTGCTCTCATTCTCTATTGCTTAACCATTAGTCTTATGGGATATGATGAGTTAAGAATAAAAGTAAAACATACCTCGGCACTTCTGCTCAATGCAACAAAAACAAAACCTTGTGAAGTTAATCGATGCCTCTCTTTCATTAAAGGTTTTCTACTTTTCCGAAACAGGATGAAAATTTTGTTGAGATTCATCTCGAGGCATAGAGATTGTCCTAACAATTACTTAAAACAATGCATTCAATTCAACTTTTAGGGCAAAAGTCTATACGTCAGATCAACCCGAATGGCCACAATATAACTTTGAATTTTAATCTCCTAGTCTAGTACTAGCTATTTCAAAGTTAAAACTATCGTCAGTCCTGAAAAGATCCGGTCAAATGACACGATTTTAGATCTTCTGTGATCAAGTCACGAAAAGTAAGAATCGGCGACAGGCCACATCAGACCTAATCTTTAGCGCCGACATGACTATGTTATGTTATGTTAAGACCACAAGACCATTCTGGTCATCATCGAGTCCCTGGCGTACCCAGGGGCTCGTGGGGCGCGATGCGGGCGCGTAGGAACGCAAGCCAGTGGCGGCAGTGGTGGAGCTGCGCCGCGAGGGGCACGTCCAGAGGGAAGACGATGAGGTGGGCGCAGTCGCTGCTGCCCAGGAAGTGGTCGTACACGCAGTGGTAGCTCGGGTGTCCTGAGAACTCCCACACCGACATGTGGCCACATACGCTCATGTTCACCTGCGCGGGCAATTTAAATTTCACAACAAATATTAACGTAAATAAGCCCTGATACGACAATTGAAGCAGTACATAGTGTTTTCTGGATTTATTTACGGATACGTATGAATAAATTTCATTTCTTGAAGCGTATGATTCAATTTCATAGTTTGGCTATCCGTTAAAAACTGGTCCGACAAAAAAGTATCAAACGGCGATAATATTGAAGACTGAGCCAAGTTGATTGAAGCGATACTTGCTGCATGATCAGTCGGTACCCGAGCTACGCTTCGCCATAAGTCGGTACCTGCGCTACCTGCTGCATCATAAGTCAGTACCCGCGATACCTGCCGAATCACAGGTACCTGCTGCACGTCGATGCCTCTGGTGAAGTGGTCCTGAGGCTGCCACTGCAGGGAGGAAGGTGGCGAGGCAGGCGACAGCTCCATCTCATCCAGGGCTTTAGGGCGGCTTTCTGTGATCACACGCAACGTTCCAATAACTTTTCGTCCAGAAAAATTAAGCCATGAAAAAAAGGAACTTCAAAGAGCTCAGTTCAGTTTTGAGCAAAACCTATTAAACAATTTGAAAAAGTTTTGCCAGCGAACATTTCAATAGGACTCAAGATTCACGATAAGTTAATTTCATTTACTGTCATATTGCATTCCAAGCTCACTACAAAAACGATTTCAATAATCGCTCGCCGCGACACATGTACGTAACAAAATTCATACAGTTACGATCATATAAATTAGAAGACAAACGAGTCCAAATGATGATCAGAGAGTCAAGTGATTCTGACAATGGCAATCTAATTAAGTGTCGAGCTGGAAACGATTAACGGAGATGATCAGAAATAATATCAGTTGAAGTACCTTTGACGTCGTGCGCAGGGTGCGCCGTGAGCCTCAGGGAGAGCAAGGAGGACAGCATCGAGGCCGACAGACATTTCCTGAGCTCCGTTTTGCCCACACCTGAGAAGCCGAGCAGCTTCACCTTCACGGCCTGCAGCGGAGAGGTCCCAGGCACCAGCTGCCGTACGTACTCCTCCCGATACGAGCTCTGCTCGGGAACAAGCCATTTATTCGAAATTCCAGTGTTTCATGAAGTTTAAAGTATTCATGAAGTTTAAAGTATATAATTCAAAGGTCGCGATAACAAGAATCAATCAGATGGAAAGTTTAAATAATAAGCATCATATAGAAAAAAATCACCAGTTGAGCATAACGCTCATCAATTGGCAATCCTCGTCCAATGGCCAACAATTTGTTATACTGAAGAGAATGGCAATTCGAGGTAAATGAATGGGTCAGCAACCTTAAACTAAAGAGAAAATAAACATGCAGATTTTAATGCCAATTTTAATAGACCGTTCTGAAACGGAATTAGTACCTATATTAATCACACAAAATCTAACACATAATCGTTTCGAACATTTGTTGGAGATGAAAAAACTTGATAAAGCTCATTCCCCTAAAGTAAATAAATTCATCTAATTTAATGTGGTCGCTAGTTTCATAGAATCATCAAGATCCACGGTGGATGTATGTGTTGAACAGACGTCAAATGTCTTAATGTTTTCAGACTACATCAATGACAAGAGTTAGCATCAGTTGAAGGCACTCTGACTAGTAGAAAAAAGTGCGTTCGGCCGACAGGTAATAACTGTAACATGCAAATGGTAAAATTCATTTTCAAATCTACAAATCGGAAATAAGGATATAAACATAAATTATTTGATAACTTAGTAGCGGGCTCGTGCGTAGGCTATTGTGACGCACGTTTCTACAAATGGTGATGAGGTCCGTGATGTCGTCGTGTCCCTGCGCCATGGACATGACCTCAGGAAGTATACCGTCTCTGCTCTTGATGTCCACGGCACAGCCCGCCAGACACAAGCATCTGAGGGACCGAGTGATAAAATGTCGAGCCATAAAGTTATTTAACATAACATAACATAACATAGTGATGTCGGCGCCCCTAGGCCTGATGTGGCCTGTCGCCGATTCTTGTACTTTTCGGGCCTTGTTCACAGAAGATTTAAAATCGTGTCATATGACCGGATCTTTTCAAGATTGACGATAGTTTGAAATAGCTACCAGACTTCCACCGTAGGATGGATTGAGGGGAGATAAGCAAGAGAGCAAATCTCAGGAGAAACAGACAGATAAACCATCTCTGATGAGATCGAAAGAAATGTTAATAGCTTGAGGATGATTTGTTAATTTTCATTAAACCTAAGGAAACTCGAGGACTACCTAATCTCTGGTGTCGGCGTTTTAGTCATCACCTTATGCCCATATTGTCAGCAGGAAATATTTGAGCTCCTGGTTTAAACCATACAAAGCCTGGGACCCTAACAACGCAATGGACAACACATTAGAACGAGAGCACCGCACCTCAGGCCCATAAACTCCCACCTGACAACCTCGGTGTGGCCACGTCTGACGGCGAGGTGGAGGGCGGTGAGGCCTTGCGCGTTCGCCACGTCCAGCTGACACCCGAACGCACACAGCGTTTGTGTCAGCGGCACACTGCCTGACATCGCTGCCAAGTGCAGAGCTGTGTCCCCTTCCTGTATACCACGAGTTGGGGATGAAACAAGCGTCTACATTACTAGGGGTAATTGGGAACGCATTGCAGTGAGATTTTAGAAATTTCGAGCAAAAATGCTAAATTATATTAAAGTCTGACCTGCAAAGGAGCGTTAATAATTCCTGTTGCATCGTTCTGCAGGAATGTCGCAAGGCCCTCCACATCCTGTAGCTGCAAAAGCATCAGCAGTGCAGACTCTGCAGGTTCCTGCAAGAAGCAAAAGCTTGCAACGAGACTCATATTAGGGCTTCTAAAAAAATTGTGATTGGGCCGCATTTATGGTGATATTTGTTGCGCTTTTTTACATTAATTTTCGTCAAGTGTTCAATAAGCATAAAAAGGCTCGTATTGCCATCAATCGTGTTAATCATTCGCTCTTGGTAACAATAAAAAAATAATGAAATTGAAAGTTCATATCAAACGCATAGTATGACATGAAATTGATACTAGAACTACTTACATAATATCTAACACACGCCTACCAGTGCCAAATAATGTAGGAATAAAATTCTAACTACCACCAATTAGCAGATCGTACAGAGCTAAAGGACACTTTTTCAGTGAAGCCTTCGGTGCCGCGCGGGCCTCACATGCCACCGTTGTCTTCTCGCTAAAAACGTGGCAAGAGACTACTTCGGGCAGTGGGCAGAAATCGGAATAGCTTTTGTGGAACTATAAGTATATAGTGAACGCAAACGCTGTTGCTTCTTGGTACATTGTTTCTAATCATTTTTCCCTGCACACTGCTACATTTAAAACACATAAACAAAAGGAAATCATGAAGATTTGTTGACATAGGTAAATTACATCAAGATTTATCATTTCCAAAAACATTTTGCGAACCCAAAATGAAGCGCTTCGAAAAGTTTACTCTGGAGCATTACGCGGAAGAAATGAGGTTTTAATTGTAACCTTTATAAACATTTTGATATCTAGTCCTAGAAATAATCGAGAATTATGTCTACTTAACTGTCTTTACGAGCTGAAGGTTTGAATAGGGACAATAACAATGAAAATAAATTATTCTTCGATGAGAAAAACTCTACCCTGAGCCGGTAATGTTAATCACCTTGACCTGGTTGTTTTGAATACCGGTATGTATTTTGCTCGGATCTTTTTATCCCAACTCGCAGACGGTCCCAAAAATTATAAATAGTTCTAGTTGTGAACAATATTATCAGCGCAAGTTTATTTGACTGAGAATGTTAATACCACGTATTAGCAAGCTTCATAAAGATCACGCAAGAGTAGTGACCAACGCAGTTAGTCAGAAGTTGCACCTAAGTGACCTAACCTAACCCCACCGTGACAGCCGAAGCGTAAGTACGTACTTGCACGAAAGTGCTATCACCGTACCCGATGGGTACGGTGATTGTTTACTAAATCGTCTTACATGATTACTTGGTACTAATATTTTTTATAGGTTTTTCAATATTCTGAAATAAATTACTGAAATTAAGTTTCTCCCCAACAAACAATAACTATTGCAACAACACCGTCTTATTCTTAATATAACCCATGAACACGTACGTACAGTTTGTTCAAGCGTGGCCTTCGAAGCTCTAAGCGAGTAAGTCATTGCCATTTACACATATGTAGGCAATTGAAATTTTAGACTCCAATTTAGCCTATGTGAATACAGCGGAGGCTGAGCGTTGTCTTACCGCTGCCGAAACAGGATTAGGCGTCAGATCTTCTTCTGCATCGACGCTCTGCGATCGCAGAGTCGAGTAGAGAAGCTGCGGCCGGCAGTTGCTGCGACTGCTCGACATGCTTACTTCGCCTTCTGGGATGCTTACTTCGCTTCCACTGATGCTTGCTTCACCACACTAATGTTTTCTGTACCTTCATTGATGCTTCTTCAACCTCGACTGATGCTTGCTCGACCTTCACTGATGACACTATTCAACTATACTAATGCTCGAATCACCGCCACATTGGCAGTGACGACACTCGCTACAGTCACGCCACTGATGCTTCCCTCACCGGCCACCGCCACGCGGATGCTTTCCTCACGATCACACTGATGTTTCCATGATACATGTCTCTTCTGAACCAATCACAGAGCCAAAACTAGGTGATTCTCACAATAAGTATAATCTAATATGTCAGAATTAATCATATCTTTCACACTTCTAAATTTAAAGAAAGTGATGTTTGCTTCCATAGTCGATCATTTCCAAAAACTGCATTCGCCAAAGTCAAGTTATATTGCCTGGAATTCCTCGTTGCCCAGTCGGTAACAGAATTTCCAATGTCTGACTGAACAGTACTCACAGAAGAATACTACACATCTATCGCAGAAGCATTAATGCTTCTGATTGAACATAATTATTTGCACTACCTACAATCTAATGGAGAGTAAAGACTAAATGAATTGAATCGTCACGCCTAGAAAAAGTAGAATAGTTAATTAATCATTGTTTTGTTTCAGTATATACCTACATAACTTTTGGAACTTCCGAAAAGTTTAGTTTTGGGGGGAAAAAACTTGCAATGTTGATTATTTTTCAATTATTTTAAACTATTTTGTTTTTTTTTAATATATACATTACTAGCGAATTTGAATTACTTAACAAATTGCAGGACTTAGACCTCGAGATAAATTTTACATTTCGACATTGAGCTACAAACACAAACGTCGGCAGTCTACAATGGAACATGAGATGTGACTAAGTTCGAACATTTGCAAATGTTTCACGGCACTAGCCGGTGAAACCCTGGTAGAAGATGACATCCCTACCCTAGCTATATAGTCAAATATGTTCACAAATTTATTTTTATTGCATTTTAAGTAGCAGATCAAAATTCCGTCATACTACCGCAAATACTGAACGCCGCGTGGTTAGATTTGTTTCAATTTGCAAGCCACTGATATTTTGTAGTTTTTGAGACATTCATTCCCAAATATTACCGGTAAATTCTTCCTGTCTATTGCGAAGGCAGTAAATATTGCGCAAGAATCGCGTGCAGCATTCAGCGAAACGAAAGACTACTCTTGACAGTGACGATTCTATTGATGAAGTATTGGATGCGGTCGATGAATAGCTCGACGACCGCCCAAACTTGCCGCGCTGAGTTAGGCGTGCACATGCGTTGGTGAGAGTGACAGCCGCTGGTGCTACAGTGGAAACCCTGCCTGACGAACGTCCAAACAGCCGAACGAAACGTTATATTGGGAAAATGTGCATGTCCAATGTACGGCCGTGCTTCGCTGCACGATGCCGAACACTGCAAAATGCAGTGGATGGGCAAAACGTGTCTAATATTTATCGAAGACGAATAGGACCTCATCAGTAGCATGCGGCTGGCCAGTTAATAGTTTTGAGGACCAAGATTAGAGCTAGTGTTGTTGGTTCGATCTCAGGCCATTTCCAGCTACCCGCGATGGTTCTGGTCAAAATCGTAGAGGTAACTGGGCGGTTGAGCACAGCAAAATTAGTGCAGCGAGTTGCATATTCAAGACATGAACCAGCTATGAAATTTTGCGATGCTCAGATCGGCAAAAGGTCTAATGGCCTATTTAACGCTGACACCGCTATTGTCATTGCGCTTCTTGAATATGGAGTCGGCCGAAATTATACATGTACGACTACGACCTGTACAATTTAGGGTTAGCAAGATGCCGTGTAAAAATGCTTTAATAAAAACAATTGTTTCTCAGCCTGATCTAAATACGATACATACGTAAATTTAAATGAGGTGGCTATAGGGGAAGCCCGATACAGATTGGAGTCTTTTTTCATAATTTTTAATAAGAAAAATAGGTTTGCTATACGAACCAAGATACTGAAGGAATTCCAAAAACCCTGCAGTTTGTAAGGCGGGGTTTCACTGGATTTCCATTGAGATCTATCAATCACTAAAAAGCAATACGTTGTATTGAACCTGATGCAAAACAGCGGGCCAAGTTTGAAGTTTCCAATGGACTTGTACTCTCCCAGTCCCAGGTATTGCCGCCAAAAAATTAACTATGTGTACTCGACAAAAGACGTGACTGGAACTTCAAAAACAATTGTTTTATGATTTGTCAACTGTAAAACATCTCATCCTTCGCTGGTTTGTTGACAACTTCTCAGTGATTGTGATTTGTGCATATTGTGTTAAGTCTCTCAAACTATTGCATCTCATCATTCTCATGCGAACAAATGACATCGCTGACACGTATTGCAGTACGTTGAAATTGATTAAGAGCTCGTTTATCATGTATTATTCATGCTATAATGAAGATAGCCGCCTCGGACGCCTGTTGCCGTGAGTGGAACCGCACATGAACGTGTTGAAAAATCATTTAGGCTACGAGTTTTGTCTCTAATTCCTATTAACGACAAAACTTTAGCAATTATTTATTTTGCGGATAAAATGCATGGTGATGGCATTAAAAATTTTATGGCCACTATCATAATTGTCAGCGATTTTTGAGTTTCAATATCGTGACAGATGACCAGACCGACTACCGTAGCCTATTAGTGACTTCTGAGTCTGACTAATATTAGGATTACCAGGAATTGCCATTACCGTCAGTTCCGCCATTAGTAGGCCTATATGCCATACGGTAGCTAACGGTGCGGAGCCCGGTAGACAGAAAAGCAACAATTTGAAATTATTTATTACCGGACTTAGTAATATGGCAATCTGAGCAAAAGTAAAGCCCACACGAATATTTTTTCTACCGTTACAGCTGATCACTGGGTCGTATCGATTCACACAACATAACTAGTCGGCGTTTGTTAACCCAAGAATCTATCCTAAACCCAAATGCCTATCCTTAACTGTCCAAAATATGTCATCAAATTCGTTCATTTCCACATTAAATTTGTATAATTCACGGGTGCACCGCTTGCGAATGTACGAGAACAACGCAACACGAGACACCGAACCTCACTCTCTCACTGCCTAACATCGACTGCAGCTGAATGTCAGTCATAGGGGGGAGGGAGGTGATGGGAGAGGGCCAGTGTGGTGCCTCGTGGTCCCTTTTCGTCTCAACACTTCTTGCTGTTATTGTAAACGCTTTAAAATAAATGACAATTGATCAGAACTGAAGTTTAGGAATAAATCACGTACATTACGATGAGTTCTTCTATGAAGTTAAAAATTTAATCTTTTCAACTCATAATAAATTCCCGATTACATTGTTGACCCTCCGAGTATGAACGCGTTCAAGAACAGAAAACAGACTAGATAACTAGATAAAGCTATGAAAAAATACATGTTTAGACTTGAAATGCCTAGCACCATATGGAACCCGGTGTAATTAGCTATTTCAAACTATCGTTAGTATTTAAGAAATCCGGTTGAAGGACATGCTCTTTGGATCTTCTGTGAACAAGTCACGAAATGTACAAGAATCGGCGACAGGCCATATCACGCCTACTCTTCAGCGCCGACATCGCTGTTATGAATGACTTCTAGGGCGCAAAGTAAAAAATATGATAATTTCAATTCATATATATTATAAAAGAGTTCGCTTAACCAAAAATTTCTTATGATACATAGAAGAAAGTATTGCACAATCGGCCGAACGAATCGTTTTTTTTTAAAGATAAAAAATCGGGACAAGAAAATTTTTTATACGGAGCCTATTAGGAAATAAAAGAACAAGTAATTATAAATAGTGTAGGATAACATATACCTAAAATTCTAACTCATTTAAGAGAATAAATGCATAGTTAATCCTTATTATTTACCACTATTTGATTATTCAGACCCTTCGTAACTTTTACCCGAAAGTAATTAGTTTTAAGCTATTTCTCGTGTTTAAAACAAATGAACCTCTCCAATAGTTCCCGGCGAGTCCTAATTAACCCGCCTGCTCAATCATAAAACATAGATAGCAACCCGAAAGGCAAATTTAAAAAATAGTACAATTTGAGTCAAAGTTATCGGAATTATCTGTGGAGCGCGTCTTACCGAAGCGTGAACGGCGGACCTCCCATTTACGCTAATGACTAAACTTGGCTGATGAAAAAGAGAGTCCATTGAGGTAAATTCTGAAGGCATATTCTGTTTTGGCTTCGAGTAATAGCAAGATTCTGGTAAACAAGCATTTGATATCACGTAAACCCACCTAAATGACTCTTAATAAATTATGTATCATCAACGATTGATCTACGATTATATTAAGTTACCTTATATTAATATACATTAGCCACATCAAGACAGGAGGTCAGGTCTAGCGGCGCCTCGTGGTGGAAGCTTCGTAGTGCAAGACAGGCCGGGAATGTCTGTAGCAGACTGTAGGCTACGCTAAACATGGGCAGAATGTTTGACTAATGCTTATAATTATTTGTGTCTCATTTCAGATGAGTGTGAACGTAATGAAATTACGAAATATTTCTGATAATTACCTTTGAACGGCGGTATAAGAAGACAGATAATTGCTGTCCGAATGAAAATAACTCTCGGGAAATGCGGCTAAATGAGGATCGCAACAGCATTAAATTTATTTAACTACGCTTACAATTAAAGTATGACATAAATAGTGTGAAAGTTGTAGCGTACGCTCGCTACACGACATACAGTATAGTGTAATTGGTCCACTTCTTCAGCTGTGATTTAACTATGTTATACGAGAAATACGACAATGACCTTCACAGCGTATGCTTATCGTTAATACTGAAGCTTCTGTATAATTATTTCTTCAAGTATCCAGAGTTCACATTTTTTTAAATCCTCCTCTCATCGCACAGATTATTACATGTTAACCTAAAACTTTACATGGTAACGTAACGCAAAGATAACCTAAAATTTCCACACTATCCTCCATTTACAAAACGCACCTTAGAAGCATGCATGAATTCGTCGGCCAATGGTGTCAGCGGTGAGCGAAGTTAGGGCTTCTATTGCGGTGGCGCGGGATTGTTATCCTGACTCCTGAGAGAGCGGGTGTGGTGCCTGGACATGACTCACGTTAGTCACAGCAAATCAGTCGATAGAGAAAGAAATCGCCCGGCACTACAAATAAGAGTTATTAAAAAGTTGTGTCAAGTTGTCAAGGAAAATTGAAGAACAAAGCTGACTAAGCTCCTTAGTCACTGCAATTTCTTTCTTTGTTGTATATTTTAGCGAGTAGGCTTGCTTTTCGATACAGTTTTGTCACGTAATTAGCGTGAAAGCATATCTGTTGAGAGATGACAGTTGGTCAACTTGAGAATAAATAAGAATTTGGGAATGATTTTTCTCCTTCAATAAGTTATTTTTTAATTATTTATTTATTATTATATTTTTTTTTTGTTCCAAGATCATTCAACAGTTGCTGCTATGTCATCTGTGAAAACATTGACGGTCTTTCGTGAATTTCTGCATGTAGTTGATGAATGATTTGTCAGTAATTTGACTTATTATGCAAACGAAACGTTACGTAATTCGAGGATCTTATGAAACGACACTTTCTCTTTCAAAAGCAAGTATTTTGTTATCTAATGACGATAACTGCTTAGCAGACGACGCCACGTGTGCACCGGTGTGCCCAGCTTTCACAGGAAAACTTCTGCAAGTTCTTGACTTCACAAGACTAAGGTCTCTGCCGCTGGTAGACGAAGTTTTACTCGTACGTCTACGACACGATGAAGATTCCTCGTGCTTGTACAGGTAGCTTTTAAGAGCGAATGTTTTTGCGCACTTGAGGCAGGTGAACGGCTTGATGGTGGAATGTGTTTGAACGTGCGCACGGAGATTGGACTTGTCCGCGAACGCTTTGCCGCAGTTTCGACACTTGAAAGGCTTCTCTCCTGAATAAGTAGGATTATTATTAATAATGTTTAAATATTGCACAAGAGAATAGAAACAGTTATCAAGCTGAATAATTTCCTTGTCTTATTATCATCAATGATAACACTATGCTCTTTTTCATTGCTTAACTCTATCGGCTGCAACGATTTTGATTAATGTTTTATATAAATAAATTAAATTTTACAATTTTTATTCATGAGAAAATATTAGCATCGTTTAAAAACACAATAATGATGAAAATATACGATTGTTACCAACTAGAGAACAGTCAGATGAGGGACTATTGTATTGTTCAGTGCATAAATGAGCGAGAACCGACCCGTGTGAGTGCGGATGTGCCCCTGCAGCAGCCATGGTCTGCTGAAACACTTGCCGCAGGTGTGGCAGCGGCAGCCCTGCGTGTGCGTCCTGATGTGCTGGCTGAGCGCCGCTGGGCTGAGGTAAGTCTTGCTGCAGTGCGGACACTTGCGGCCGCCGGCGCTGCTGCTGCGGTGACATTGTCTGCATGCAGTTCAACAAGGTTAGTTTTAAATACAATTTGAATAACTGAAACGATATAATGAAGAACATTATTATTTAATGATGTCTTAATATATGATTGAGAGCTAAAATGATTGGAACTTAGTAAACCTCAATGTTGCCGCAGTGGCAGTCTGTTATTTTGATTTATACGTGAATTTAAAGGACAGTGAATCGTCTGTGTTCGCGACGAAGATGACCAACTAAAGTAACCATAATATGTGGCATAATTGATAATCCCCAGGCCTCGTGGGGCCTGCTACAATACCTCATTTTGAACAGAAAAGTTCCTATCCAAAATACTTCCCTAGCGTCTCCTCTCGAATGACACTGAAAAGTGCTTGTCTGGTAGGATTTACTATACCAGAATATAATATAGTACGACCGATTTGCAACACACCGGTCAAACGAAAAACTCCATAATTGATCAAATATTTAATAAAATTTATTCTCAGATGCCGGCAAATATTTAGGGAATATATAATCAGAGCAGAGGACGCTGGCAGGTGGCAATGTTTGGTGTAGCGACAGGAGCGTTATGACGGGCGCCGCGGTCACGTCATGCCTCCATGAGATACGACGGTCTTGCGCGCTAACTCTAAGTTTCTTTTCACTGAGCAACGAAGCCACAATATTTATATACACTTAAAAACTATAATACCCATGAAAGTTTAATGATTTGATGTATTAATAAAGGTTAATGGCAATCTAGTCTTGATAAAAATATGCTTAACAATTTGAATTTTTTCTTGATCATCTGATAATTCAAATGATTCATTCACTGTTCAATGAAATTTTTTATTCACATGTGTTAAGCACAGGTAGTGCGTCTCATTAGACCGTCGTGCATTCATTTATCAGGAACGATTCTTTTCCCAAGAAAGTCTAGATCTTTCAGTAGGCTAGGTATTTTCATGCAATGTTTTGAATGTCAAGTTTATGTATTTTACTAATACAATATATATCGTAGGTGTTCATAACCTCTACATAGTCCGAAAAATATCTCCAAATTAACAGATCAGCAGAGCCAGAAGGCTTTTAAATCAATATCAAGAGTGCGCAGAAGCTTTTATCGGAACCCGTAGCGCTCCGAAGCAGCGAATGAACACCTGCGAGCCTTCATTTTTTTTCTAGGAAGGAAGAGCCGACCATACCGAGGGAAGCGTTTCCTCCGGAGGGAAGAGTGTATTTATGGCAACACTGCCAGGGGTGCTGTCGGCGAGAAAAAAAAAACGCGCTGCGAAATGGAGAGAGGTGTCATCTTGCAAGAAGGTTTTTATGATCAACTTCTTAGCGGAAACGTAAGCGAGCTGTGATCTTAAAGAGTGAACACGCTACAATCTTCAACGTGACATCCAAAGAAGATCAGAATGAAACGTGGAATAAAGTGCTCGTATCATACCAATAAGTAAAATTTTTGCGAGTCAAAAAATGAAGAAACTATTGCATATATGCGAGTTGTTCGATTTGTTTAGAAGAATTTGTGATTTTGAAGAATTTATTAGATTTACGAAGAATTCATCATGCAACTATGTAACGAAACTAATTTAAAAAAAAACTTAGATAAGGAACGTCGGAAAAATATCATGACTTGCAGAGTTTCAGCCATCACTGACAAGCCGTTCTTTCTCTACACGGGGCACCATGTCTACTCACCGGTGTCGCGCAAGATTTGACGAAGTTGAGTAAGCTCGGCCACATTCAGGACAGCAGTAAGATTCTTTGCCAATTTGCGATGAAAATTTATTTGGACTTGATGATGCAGAATTACTGTCAAATAGCTCCTGAATGCACTTGGACGCGAGAGTTTTTGAATCGTCTGTGCCAGGCAGCGGAATACTCGAAATATTGTCAATCCCGTCACGTGATTTGCCGTAAAGTTTAGTGAGGTCGTTGGTTTGGCACTCAGATGACTGGTCAGAATTTGTGGGACTGGATGATTGACAAGGTGAGTTGTACTTCTCCGGAGAATTTTTGATTTGTACATCCATTAAATTGAACAAGCAATTTTGAGAAGTACCAAGGTTCAAATCTGCCTTGGAATCTTGCAACAGAATTGCCTGGGTTAAGTTCCTTTTACATTCGTCTGGTTTTGTTTCTTCATTGGAATGTACATCGGCTGGTGGCACACTAGTGAGATATAAATTGGGATTCTCAACGTCTATGTGAACGATATTACCGTTGAGCGGGAAACGTTTATGCAACGGGACTGCCCACGTTATACTTTCATAAGCGTTATGATTTCTGATCGGCGTAGCCTCCACAAGCGCTTCGAATCCATCCGCTTGTCTAATATCCGTAACAGTACGAATACTAAGAATATAGCTGCCAGCGTCACATTCAAAAGAAGACGAGCCCTCATGACAACAAAGTTTGTTGTTCCTGTAGGAGATTCCCTTGCAAGAATCAAGAATACTTTGGGTCGTTCCGTCATCAGTTAAAATGGCGCTTGAGTCGCCTGATTTTCCTTCTGTCTGCGTAGCAACGCATGATTTTAGAAAATATCCTGACGCGTGGGGCGATGATCTACTATTTTCGGCCCTGTAATCAGCAGGGCTCACGTCTCCTATCTTTTCCCTTACACACGAGGGAAACTCAGCAGCCATAATGGCCACCTCTGCTAGAAAAGACAAGGAATCTTGTGGCAATTCTTCTGTGACATCTGACCGTGCATGCATCCCGGCCACTTCGTACATGTCGTTTACTCAGCAATACAAGTTACTAAGCCAACTTGATTCTTTGAAAAGAGTAAAGCTTGAAGTTGTTAAGGAAACAGCAATTTCTAAAAATTTCGAAGTAAACTTGTTCCTTTGTTGGTTTAAAAGTTGAATTTGGTTATTGGAATGGCAAATATCATTAACGACCCCGAAATTTCCACTGCTATATAACGCGTATGTCAAGTCTTTGAAATGTGGTAACAGCAACAAGAAATGGTAGTCCGTTCAGGTAGTTCTTGAAGCCCCGAATGAAGTTTGCTTTGGGATCAAAATTACTTCAAGATTGGGACTTTAATTCGAGGTGTTATTCTGCTTGCGTGGGAGAGGCAGGGAACTTCACAGAAGGACGCAAGCCCTCGCGCTCAGCAGGGCACTGACATCGACGGATGCTGCAGGCGGGGCGAGTGCCAAGAGTCCCGACGCTGCTCCTCGTGGTCGGCCGTCATCAAAGCACAGAGTCTGCCTTTATTAATTATGTGACGCTGGTTAGGTAAAACAAGAGTGATGATGATGGATCCAATGACGTTTAATGTCTTTAAATTCAATTATAACTTCTAATAATAAATCGAATCAGAGATTGATTGACTACATCCACAGACAAATAATGCGGTTTGTTTGTCATAAACATACCACGAATTGGAAGATAACATAGATCTAGTGACATCCAAATAAATTATTTGCCGATCAAAATTGCAGTCGTTAATTTTAATTTCACGGTCTGCAATTCAATCATTGATTTTTAGAATGAATGACACAGCGATTTTGAAACCTTCATTATGTTTTCAAAAACCCAATAGTTTTCGTACTTTTCACTGCCTGTCACTAGCTGCAATAGCAAGAAGTCTCGGGGCAGCTGCTTATTACAAGCACAGGTTTATTGCTCTTTCGTATGTTGTCTGGACCCTCGTTTGTGCAGCAATTTGTACAGACGTTTCGTCGGTAGTTAGCGACGACGAACTGAAATATAATTCACATAGGAAACGTAGGGGGACCAGCGTAATAAATGTGCTACAGAAAAAAAACAAGTCTTTGCTTCCGAATTATACTAGGTGAAATCTTCAAATTGTTTTATATATTAAATGATCACACTAAATTGCTTTCCAAGTCGATTGGTTATTTGATTAATGGTATATAATCGAGGTAGTTCTGGCTATAGTTAACCTACTCGAATAGTTAATTCAAGATCCATTCGATGAGCCACTGAGCAGAGAGGAGCACCCGTGAGACGTGACAGCGCCGGGAAGCAACTGGTGGAGGGTTGCCCTCACACCTAGCGCAGGGCGGTCGGTGGTTGGTTGCGCCGCCACGTGTTGCGACCAAGTCGCTATTTCGGGCACCTGCGTCGCGTGCGCGGTAAGAAGAAGCGACGCGATGGCCTGCGCTGCCCGAATCGAAACAAAGAAGCGCGCAGCGACGCAAGCAAGTCTAGGCATATGATATATATTATATATATCATATGATATGATCTATGATACTAGTTTGTTAGCTATCGCTATTGCTAATACTATTGCCGCTCAGTAGAGACACGATGAATGAAACTGCGTGCCTCTAACGAAATAATAATGAGATAAAGGCTTAGTAAGAGAAAACTCGCGCTGAGAGAAATAATAAAACAGAATGTCAACATAACAATAAATTAAAATTAGACTCTGCTGTTTTATTCAAATAATGAGATTCATTGCAGGTCTCAACGTACACAAATGTAAGCGATTCGAGATGAAAATACTCTCGTATATATAAGGATGAATCAACGGAGGCGACAAGAAACAATTCTTTACTTTTATTATGGTAAACCGTTTACATGTGACACGGCGGATCTCAGGCATTGCTCCGCTCGAGTCAGATCGTACAAAGATATTTATTCTTAAATTTGATCGCTCGCCGTATAATACAGTAGTAATCTAAGGATTTGGCCAATCAAAAGCTTAACGAGTTAGAAAGGCATTATAAAATGTAAGCGTAAATGAGAAAATTGCGACAGCATGAAGAATTGTGCGCAGAACTCGCTAAGAGTTGCGTTAAATCAGGGCTGGATATTTAGAGATACATTGTACCAGTCAACTGGTTTTCCTTCTGTGGTCTTAAATCTATAGTACATATGGGCACTGATCCTCAAATTTATACAATAGGCATAATCTGACGGCAATTTAATATTTTCGAGGCCTCTGAAGAAATTTACACTTTGAAAATTATAAGAATTGAATAGTAAACGTTAATATTCAATGTATAGGAGAGGATTACGATTGAAACATTTTCCATAGATACTAGTCACTTCTGAATTAATGAAGAAACATCATAGAGCAGCACGTTTTGAACACAAATTAAGAAGCTCCAGCGCGTGAGGCAGAAAAACCATGGACGCATATAATCATGCACGCGCTACAAAAAACTCCACTTGAAATAATTTATTTGTTTTGGTTTAAATTTCTATCAGATACACATTACATGTTGGCGCGTCAGCTCTCACCCTTAATACATGTTGCGTGTTGGGCAACCCGTCAAATTTTCAGTGCAACTATATAATAAGTTACATATTGCCTATTTTCCATGCAATCAATTATGTGTATAGTTATATGATAAATGAAGGGCACCTCGGAATTCTATATATATTTGATAGGAGCACATAGAATATCGGTTTCATGCAGATCAAAACAAATTTGCAAATCTCAGCCACCAGCCGTCCGTATGTTAATTCTAAGTGATCATCTTTGCTTTAATGTAGCGGCAGCAGCTCTCACGGTACGAAGTATTTTACAAATGTCATGCATGTGCGCTCTATAGAAGGCATACTTCAACATATAGTATTCATATTCAGCAAGTCAACTCGATAAGTCAATTCGACAAGTCATGCTGTATTTCAGTTTTGATCCACAATATTGATTTTGAAGATCTATTTTAGCGAGGGTCTGCGGGCCGTAGTTTGGAGACCTCTGGCCTAGACAATGGAAGAAGCACTACAGGATAAGCATTTCAATCATACCAATTCCACAGAGAGTTTCCGTCAATAAAATTGAACAGACAACACAGCTTCCTGGACTTTGTTCTTCATTTAAAAGAAATCAGTTTCAAGACTTAGCATCGAATTTTTTGTAGATAATAAGAATCTAGAGACTGGCCTCAAAAATTGCATCACCTGTTTAGTGACATGATATATTGCACTGCCCAACTCACAGGCTACATATGGGACTACATTAACAAATAAAATACGAGGCACAGATGGAAGTATAGTGCACGTGGTCCAATTGTTACTAGTATTGTTTCGGTCAGCAAACGAGAACAAATTCAGGCTATTATTTGCGACACAAAAATACACGATTTGTAGTGTGCGACTGTCTGGGGCACAAGTTTCCTATAACAACAAATCATGCCACGACAGCCACTCTCATGTACATAAAATCTGGTACAAAAATAAACTAAAATATTTCTTGGTCCGTAAAATAAGTGCGCTGCCAGTGCCGGCAAATATGAATGTTATCCTCACATCCGCAAGTAAGCACGATGACTTGAAGAATAAAAATAAGGATGTTGTGAGATGGCGCTGCAGTGACGCGGGGTGGACGTGCCGTGTGCTCGTCACGAACGTAAACTATTAGACGGTGCAGCGTTGGGCTGCAACGCTGGCAACCAACGACCAGCGCAGCGTTGGGCTGCAACGCTGGCAACCCACGACCAGCGCAGCGTTTGGCTGCAACGCTGGCAACCCACGACCAGCGCAGCGTTTGGCTGCAACGCTGGCAACCCACGACCAGCGCAGCGTTTGGCTGCAACGCTGGCAACCCACGACCAGCGCAGCGTTTGGCTGCAACGCTGGCAACCCACGACCAGCGCAGCGTTGGGCTGCAACGCTGGCAACCCACGACCGGCGCAGAGTTGGGCTGCAACGCTGGCAACCCACGACCAGCGCAGCGTTGGGCTGCAACGCTGGCAACCCACGACCGGCGCAGAGTTGGGCTGCAACGCTGGCAACTCACGACCAGCGCAGCGTTGGGCTGCAACGCTGGCAACCCACGACGTTTTCTTTGACTTGGTCACGAACATTTGTCGGAACAGAAGGTTGCGCTGGAATAATTTTCGACGTCAATACAAAGCTACAAGGTTTTGCTTTGCAGGTAATCCTTGTATGTTCATTAAATAAAAGATGTAGGTAGGAAGGAGTTCACTCAATATGAACAAAGAAATGAAAAAATTTCATAACCAAATAACAACCATTTGTGACTGATTTTAAATTAATTAAATAAATAATGCAAAATATATGGTAACTTTTTAAGCAAAGAAGCATTTATCCAAACAATGAAGAATGTTTAGTGAAGCATCGTTATAGTTTAGCGTGCAGCAAAAAAGACATGAATAAGCTGGAGGGCAACAGCAAGCTTGCAAACTTTTGATTCTAGAGTGCACCACAAAAATTGTAGTTTTGATTCAAAGTATACAGGAAGGAATTATGTTTTATTCAAAGCATACAGCGAACTGGTAGGTTTTAGCAATCGTAACGAGTAATGTGAAACCAAAATAACATAACAGTCGGAGCATGATGAGGAAATAGCAGTCATTAAAGCGGATTGTCCCATTAATAAGAACCAAACCAAACATAACGATCAAGGTAGTGCTGTTTTGGCAAACACGTGAGTTACGAATCGTTGGTAAAAACCTAACCAAACATAACGATCAGGTCTTTGAGCGATACAAATATGCAACACAACGTTCCACGATTTTAGTTAGTATGATTAAATAATATGGTTTGCCTGTCGTACACATAATACACGACTCGAATGTTGCAGCTGCCTTAACCCGAACCTAGCTTTTTAGAGACGGTTAACATGAAATATTATTTCTCAAGATATCGAAGGTTGTCGCAGGTTCTGTAAATGCGCGCTGATTTTGTTGTAACTCAACCCAACGAATATGAAAATGACGGAATTTGAAACTATCTTTTTAATAACTGAATTGTTAAAAAAATGTCCCCAGTCTTTAGCTATAACGGTGTAGGTAACTAGGAAGTTTCAAAATTAGTGAGGCAGCTCAAGGTTATAGTTGAGCTGGACCAAGCGCGGCGATTTGCGTGGCTAAATTCATCACTAGAAACGGGTAACATTATTTCCTTCAGTACGCAGCTCCGTTTGAAAATATTAGTAGTATAGAGAACGAGAATATCATAGACATAGAAGAAACTAATATTAAGTCAACGAAACAGATACACTCGGTCACTACCAGGCGACATGCATAACATTCAACAGTGAAGTCATAGATAGCTGAAGGAATTTAAGCTTACACATTTTGAACATAGCACTCAAGGTTCTACATGCGCAGGAGAAAAGAACACATGCACAGAGCGATCAAAAGTTTCCTTAACTTGATCTTAGTAAATACACGAATAAATCATTAACTAAACCTACGGAAAAATCATTACGCTAAATATGAAGCGAAAATAAAGCACAGAATAACTACGATATTTATTGAATAAATTTAACTAGACGCTGTAAGAAATTAAATCAGAAGTAATGGCGCAAACGAAATAAATTGGTTTGGTTTGTACACTCGACGATAATCTTACGATGCGACGCTCAACGTAGATTGCATTTCTCGACTTAACTTATTTCAACAAGTTCCTGGAGCAAGAACTACTAAAGTTCTCTATAGGAGTAACATTATCAGACCAGCGAAATGTCGTCACAACGGGTAAGGAAACGTAAGACATTTTCTACAGGAACGACTCTCTGCAGGCACGTGTAGAACGCGGTATCTACATTGTGTGCTTATAGTAGCCATGAACAACGCGTGCGTCTCTATATATGAACAAAGAAAAGCAGAGAGATCAAAAGAATGCAGCACACGCAATATAAACCTGAGTACAGCAGCACCTTCAACTAATCAATAATTATTACGATGGCTCACCACGCTCAAAGCAACAATAGAAAGGCATCATAATGACGGTAATGTTCACGACATGTACAGGCACCAGCATATACAACCATGAGCTTCGCACCCTCGCTTCGTGGTTACACTGCTTCTAAAGCAGCGTTAGGATTGTATCTAACATGTTCCTGTATCTAACAAACGAGTACTCTGTTCATAAAGTGGTTACACCCTCCACTCGAGGGTGTAACCACTGCGTGGTTACACCCACGCTTCGTGGTTACACAGTGAAGATGTTTGATCTAACCTCACACCGCTCACTTCACTCGCAATTAACTTCAAATAATAGGAAGAAAATACGACAAACTCGCCCGTGTGAGAGGCACGCAATCGAATATTATTTGAGTCTATGCACACGGCGTAGGTCTTTGAGCATTATATCGTATCTTCGTAGGCATTATATCGAAAAACGATATTGTAATATATATCGAAAAACGATATTGTATATAATATATATCGAAAAACGATATATATTTTATAATATTCGATAATGATTTCATACACTTACGATCGTTTACTACGCCACACCCACAGATAAGAAGTGTGCAGAGTGGCAACGGTCAGCAGTACGCCGTACAAAAAATACATAATTCCAGTTACAAGGTAGAGTATTTTGATACGCATAACCCAATTAATATCCTTATAATGTAGAACGTAGTTAAGAATATATGGTACATATTCATTACAGCTACCATGTAAAGGGTACAGTACAGAAGAGCAGCATACATAGTAATGGACTGGAGTAGGTCGTAGTGTTACAACCTCTATTGCCTTACACTAACTGTGCCGTGTGCACATCAATGAGTGACACAAGTAAACGTAAAGTCTTTAACTACTAACAATTATCAGTTATTTTAAAGCTTTCATGTAACCTTATTCATGTCAATAATTTTGACATAGTTGTTCAGTTGTGCGGAGGTCTTGGTATTAGCGGAGCCAAATTCAAGTCCTTTGGTCGACGGGCATTAATAAAAAACTTCGTTACCCTAGTCATTTTTGAACATTTTGAATAAGGAACTCAAGTAAATATGACACACGATTGTGGCGAATTATGATTAATAATGGAAGAGAACCAGAGAAATAATTTACTGTATAAAATAAACTGCACAGGAACACAAGACGGAGAGAATCTGCGACTTAATGCATAAATGCAAATAAATGCTCGCTGTGCCATTTAACATGTACGCCATGGATACTCAATGATAGTCAATTTAATCAGTTTCCAGTCCATTGATAGGAGAAGAACCGCTCAAAATCACCCGCTCAAAATCGCGCGCCAACCTGCCAGAAATTTGTCAATGTCAAATACTACCAAAGATTACGAATAAGTGTCAGCTTTCAATCATGTTCACCACTTGTCAGTTCAACTTCGTGTCCTTGGGTTTCAAAAACTAATTGTGATTGCATTTTATTTTCCTCACTGAACTATCATTAGCGCAGCGAATAATTTTACTGTTTTAATTGAAAGGACAGCCGCTGGGACCAGGTGCAAAGCAGGTGGCAACAGGTGCATATCCAAACCAGATTATATTCTGCTGCATTTTATCAGTTGAAAACAGTTAACATTTTTAGTGAAGTGGACAATAACAAACTTGAAATCTTTCCTAACTTCGAAAATGTTCACGTACCTCCGGGAGACCATTAGTGTACCAATGATGGTCTGCGTACCAATGATGGTCTGCGTACCAATGATGGTCTGCGTACCAATGGGGGTCTGCGTACCAATGGTGGTCTGCGTACCAATGGTGGTCTGCGTACCAATGATGGTCTGCTTACCAATGGTGGACTGTGTACCAATGGGGATCTGAGTACCAATGATGGTCTGCGTACCAATGGGGGTCTGCGTACCAATGGGGGTCTGCGTACCAATGGGGGTCTGCGTACCAATGGTTGTCTGCGTACCAATGGTTGCCTGCGTACCATAGTTCGGTAGCACCAAGAAGGGAGCATTTGCTATCGTGTAAGGACATTGGGACACAAGCCCCGGCATAGGAACTTAGAATTGGCTCTTGAATAAAAAATGCAATGACTTCAACGAAAAATTAGGAAGAGAAATCATAGCTCTATGATGAATTGGAGAAGCGAAAATAAATCGGTGAAGTACTCACTTGCGACGAAGAGCAGCAGTTGAACAAATAAAAGTTGAATTATTAACTTATTCAGGAAGCTATGAGCGATGGCAAACGTGGTTGGCTTATTGAATATATAGAGCGAACACCAAGCCCTTCACGTACTTTTGTTCCCAGGACACTCGCTACAAGACTGACTCAAAAAAGCTATGCATTGAATGTAGACAAGAGGCAGAGATTGGTCAATGGCATTAATTTTGGTTTGTTTCATCGAATCTTTGGTTTAAAATTAACATAGGAGCATAGTAGTTTATCGTTTCAGCAGACGACACCAAGGCACAACACAGAGAGATTTCAACTAAGTTTAAATGACAGCATTTTAGAATATATTAATTTTCATCAAAAATACGCTTTTTGGTGGAGCCAAATTACGGAAAGTTAGAGCCAATAACCATTAGTTAATGTTAAGCGACAGCACGCTCTTCAGTTCATTTCAAATAAAGACTTGGATCAAAAATAAGAATCCAACAATAAAACAACTTCACGACACAAAACCTAACCAAAGAATACTTAAGCAGTAAAACAGACAAATCGATTTCCATTATCTTAAAGTTAAAGCTTTAACAAAACTCACCCAAAGAAACCATAAAAAAACTAGCCGAATTTAATGACGAGAATAACATTTTCATAAGTTAAGCTATAGTAGCTTTCGCAGTAATTCGAGTAATGAAGAAGTGAACTAATAGCAGCTGCGTCTTTGACATTATCAAGTCAAAGTCATACGAGTCATTACAAGTCGTCACTAAAACGAAACAGGCGAGAATGTTTAAAATTATTTTAAAATTTGTGCGCAAATACATAGAGCTTTAAAGAGACGCTTACGACGAGCCGGCGCTGGCGACAGGCACTTGACCAAATGAGAGAAGCAACATAGAAATGATAGAAAATATGCTTGAAAATACATGACCAGCAATATACATGCTAGCGCCACACATGGTCAGCAGTATACGTGCTAGCGCCACACATGGTCAGCAATATACATGCTAGCGCATGTATGTAGTTCATAAACGCTTCCATCATCAACCTGATTTGCTTGGAACACAAACAAGTCTATTTACAAAACGCTTGCATTAATGAAACCGAACTGCAAATCACAACATTAATTGAAACGAAAAACATGGATGATGTGAGGAATATCTTTGTGGGTTGTAAAATTAAAGCTCTACCAAAAATCAGCCCTCACTTGGCACAACTCACGTAGAGATAGCAATTGCTACATGCCTCCACTTTATTTTGGGCAAAAAACAGTTATCAGAAATATTAACCTATAGGCAGCGCTAATGAAAAAATTCATAAAAGAAACTACGGATGGGTGGGAAAACATTAACACTGTTTCAATGTTTGGTTTCTGAATACTTAATTCGTACTAAGCAAATAACTTATCCCTATAATTATCAGAAAACAATTCTATCAAAATCGAACTGCACGACCATTTTCGCTGCACCATCACTTGCGCGCCAATATACACAGCAACGTAGGAAGAGAAATCACAGCAACGAATTATACACGGCGTGTCATCATTTCAGGGATGTGTTGCTTCAAGAAAACTAATCTTCAATAAAACTAATCTTCAATAAAACTAATCTCAAAATATTAGTGGGAGGGACTGAGTCGTACACACTTATTATTATTACAATCGTCATTCGAATGGCTCTGATTCCCATAAGAAGTCAATTATAAAATTGCTTAAATCATAGTGGCACACCTGTACACGAGCCACATACAATCTATTGGTTTATAATTACACGTTTTAAAGCTAACAATACACAATAATCAAAGATGAGATATTTACTTCCCGCCCAGCGGGGCGAAAAAAAACATACATTTTAATTTATTTTTAGATACCAGGGTGTTACGCTGGTCACGTTCCTATTGGGCATACAACATGGTAAATCGCACGTAAATATAACAAATAAAACCTATTCTATGAATAATAGGTGTAGGTGGTGGTATCAAACAACCATCACCGCGAATGTTTTCCATAAGGAGTCTGAAGAAGGACATTTCCTGACAAGTGTTGTTATAGATGACCAATGGAGCAGGTGTTGTTTCAACACTCGTAGGTGGTATCAGACAACACCCTCCATGAAGAGGTGTTGTTTCAACACTCATAGGAGGTATCAGACAACACCCTCCATGAAGGTGGTGTTGTTTCAACACTCGTAGGAGGTATCAGACAACACCCTCCATGAAGGTGGTGTTGTTTCAACACTCGTAGGAGGTATCAGACAACACCCTCCATGAAGAGGTGCTGTTTCAACACTCGTAGGTGGTATCAGACAACACCCTCCATGAAGAGGTGTTGTTTCAACACTCGTAGGTGGTATCAGACAACACCCTCCATGAAGGTGGTGTTGTTGCAACACTCGTAGGTGGTATCAGACAACACCCTCCATGAAGGTGGTGTCCAGGTTCTGTATGAGGAGTCTGAGGAAGGCCATTTCTTTGCGCGTGTTGTTGTAGATGACGACGGGGTCAGAGCTGGTGCACCGCAGGCAGTTGGGCGCCATCACCATCGCCAGGTTGTCAGCGTTCATCTTCGTTGCTGCCACAATCTCAGGCTGTGCGAAGTACTGCAGGAACCTGCCCACACATATCAAAACTTACTCAGTGTTAGAATAAACGTATCACCCATCTGCAACATGTACTGCGAGTTGTCGGATTCTAGCGTAATTTTTATGTCTCTTGCCTTATTTCCCTGTAAGAGGAAGCACCCGCTTTTATTATCGCTCTCTAGCTTCTGGTCTTCCGCCAGAGCAGGTTGTTCTTAGTTTCGGTGTTAAAGTAAACCTTAGCAGAAGATGTAGCTTTCATTCAATCCCACAACCGTAAGACTATCATGCCGACGCACAGTGAAAACTCAATACTCAGCATATTCGGTACTTAATACAAGACATTCATTTCATGTCTGTATAATTAATCAGTGTCAGTATACAGGCTCATTGAAGTCAGAACACGGGCTCACCGTATGAGGTAGGCCAGCACAAGGCTCACCGTATGAGGTAGGCCAGCACAAGGCTCACCGTATGAGGTAGGCCAGCACAAGGCTCACCGTATGAGGCAGGCCACCACAAGGCTCACCGTATGAGGCAGGCCAGCACAAGGCTCACCGTATGAGGCAGGCCAGCACAAGGCTCACCGTATGAGGTAGGCCAGCACGAGGCTCACCGTATGAGGTAGGCCAGCACAAGGCTCACCGTATGAGGTAGGCCAGCACGAGGCTCACCGTATGAGGTAGGCCAGCACGAGGTGGTGGGTGGGGGGCAGGCGCTGTAAGACCTCCAAGGCAGCCGTCGGGTTATCGTGGGCCTCCACCGCAGCGTCATAGAGCGCGCTGGGGATCAGCGGTTCATGCAGTTCTCTGCACAACATTTTATATTGAGCTCAGAGAGAACATGTACAACATGTGCACTAATTTTCCTTCGTTAATTTTAAACTTTAATAAATAATTCTTAGTTTACAAGAGCATCCTAGGAATGTACAAATTTTCTTGTAGGATGGAATAAATGTCAGACACAAACACGAATGGCGACAATGCAACTCTGATGGACGACACAGTAAGTCTAACACAAAGTCACAGGCCACAGAGGGAAATGCTATAGTCCAAACCGGAGTCTGGGGTTCAAGAGCTGTGAAAAAAAAATGAACGACACTAGCAGTCTTTTGCCCTTTTTTCTCAACAGAAACTTTTCCTGTTACCGGTCCATATTGTACAAATAGCATTGACAATTTTCAATTTATCTGTAGTCAATAGACTTGAAAAGTGCTCATTCATCACAGTTATCAACCAAGAGCTTAATCTTACAAAGCTGAATTTCAATTATTGAATGATTTGTAGGTTGCACGCTAGATAATTTAATGATTTACCTGTACCAGAGCTTGAGTACCGCAGCAGCCACGTGGGCGTCCCTGCACTCCCCGACCTCCCACTGCTCCACCTGCTGCTTCACCTCCTGCACCTGCACGAGGAACAAGCCAGTGAATGCTTATGTATCTATACAGTAGCAGAGGCTAGTAACGTATAACCTAACGGTCCAGCACTTGAATAGGGGACGAGTTTGTAAGTGAAAGAAAAGTGGTGCACATGCGCGACAAGTTTGTTAGATTTAGAAAGGTCGGTAGTTTGAAGTCGCAGGGAGCAATTGATCCATTTGCAACTTATTGCCTATCTGGAAAAAAGCTGGGAATTGCCAATGAAATACAAATTTCTTTATGACTCTGAAAATAAAGATAAAAATAAATTCTGAAGGAGACAAATAACCAGGTTCATGCAAACAAATATAGTGCGCGAGACACCACGGCCGCATTGTAAAGGCAACTTTAACCATGCAGGCCCAAAACATTCGCTTCGCCATTTTTTTAGCGAATGTCGACAGTTCATGCAGTTGCACTTTCAAGAATTTTTCCAATCTGTGAACAAGTCGTGGCTTTTTCTACCCATGAAATAATTAATACACAAATTTCAGGGATATTTCTCCTCACTGAATGGTGTAGTAGCCTACATGCCACCGAAGCCTAGGCACAAATAGAACACACGTTACATTTCAACTTTATTAGGCGCCCCCACACGCCATCTTTATCTTGCCCACTAGTGAGGCGCACCAAACATTCTCGGTGTAACCGAAAATGTTTATTAATTTATTAATGAACATTTTTGTTTATTTTTTATTATGTTTATTATTATTTTGTTTATATGTGTGTTTATTTATATTTTGTTAATGTTAATATATATGTTTATTTATATTTTGAAAATGTTTATTAATTATTTCGGTAACATTATACTAGTGGCTGACCTCGTCGCTGTCGGCGGGCACCCTGAAGATGCCCTCAGTGTTGGTGCCCTGCAGACGCAACACCTCCTCAGACAGCGCAGTCTGTACCCACGGTAGTCGACGGTATGGATACCTGAACAATTCAGAAGATCAAGCCATCCGTATATGATGAAAATGTTCATCAACATCGATTTGAACTAAATTACTCACATTAAAATTGAATGAAAGTATTAAAAAATTTAAATCAGAACTCACTGCAGTGAGTGACAGAGAGCACATTTTCTCGTCGACGAAAACGTGGTCACGGACGGACAGACGGACGGACATGGCGAGCACAATAGTGCATTTTTTCCATAAATGAGAAAATGCGCTAAAAAGGCTTTGGTGCTGACCCAAATGATGCACATACTAAGCTATAACTGAGCCAGTCAGAGTCCGCTCAGCAGCGGACAGAAACCCTTCTAATTCAAACAATAATGCACTCATCTTGCAACGCTATTTCAAACTAAATATTTATACAGCATAATTCGTTACATTCACTTAAGCTGCAAATTGGAACGCACTTGTCGCGCTGCAGCTGCATCACCTCCTCCAGCATGCTGTTGAACATGCTCACTCTGAAGATGTGGAGCTTGGCCAAGTCCAGCTCTATGGCGCACGGCTTGCGGGTGGGAGGCCGGGTGGTACTACGCGCCAGACGCTTCTGGCACACGCCTGCGTAGTGCGCTACCTGCGGGTGATCAGGAGGTGCTTGGTGACCAGGGCCTATACTTTCAAAAGAAGTTAAGAGATCGTAAGTTCATCAGCCAATCATTGGCGGCCTTTCAAGCAAAATCCACCAATCATAGACAAGAAAATAGGGCGTAAGTACTTACGTTCACAATATACTTTCAAAAAAAGTTAAGAGGTTGTAAGTTCATCAGTCAATCATTGACGGCCTTTCGAGCAAAATACACCAATCATAGACAAGAAAATAGAGCGTAAGTACTTACGTTCACTTAGCGAATTATGAAAGTTTAGGCCAAGGGCACATACTTTCAAAAGAAGTTAAGAGATCATAAGTTCATCAGCCAATCGTTGACGGCCTTTCAAGCAAAATCCACCAATCATAGACAAGAAAATAGAGCGTAAGTACTTACGTTCACTTAGCGAATTTTGGCAGTATGGCCCCAGGCAGGGCCCATACTTTCAAAAAGAAGTTAGGAGATCGTAAGTTCATCGGCCAATCATTGACGGCCTTTCCAGCAAAATCAATCGATCATAGACAAGAAAATAGAGCGTAAGTACTTACGTTCACTTGGCGAATTTTGAAAGTATGGCCCCAGTTCAGTGGAGAATTTTATGAGCGCGCTTGATCTTAATGTGAGATGAATGTGTGCATGTTCTTTGCAAGCACAGTGCGTTAAAGCGAAGCATTGGCAGCAAGTAATTCTACAGGCTTCAGTAATGGAGGTGCATTAACTATAAAATCTTCGAGAACTTTGCCAGCTTTCAAAGAATCATCAACGGACTTAAGTAAGGAATAATTACTGCAAAAATAAAGCAATAAACTCCATAATTTATTAGATCAAAAATTTCGTTCGATAGCGAATGAAATGAATTAAAAACTTCTCTTAGATGAGGCGAATACTTCTAGACATCATGCTTAATAATATTTAACATACGAATCAAAGGTGTGATTATGGGGTATAAGGTATAAGTAAGGCATATAGAAAAAGGTATAAGATAATTACACAAGAAATAAGGTTTAAGTAAAAAATTGATAACAAGCTTGACGTCGGCAACGAAAGCAATACCCTAATCCCTTGCTGAAGACAATACCTGGATGAGTATTGGCCACTTGTTGACCTCAGGGAAGAGCGTGTGGTAGGTGTGGTTGTTAGGACAATACCTGGATGTGTATTGGCCACTTGTTGACCTCAGGGAAGAGCGTGTGGTAGGTGGGGTTGTGAGGACAATACCTGGATGTGTATTGGCCACTTGTTGACCTCAGGGAAGAGCGTGTGGTAGGTGGGGTTGTTAGGACAATACCTGGATGTGTATTGGCCACTTGTTGACCTCAGGGAAGAGCGTGTGGTAGGTGGGGTTGTGAGGACAATACCTGGATGTGTATTGGCCACTTGTTGACCTCAGGGAAGAGCGTGTGGTAGGTGGGGTTGTTAGGACAATACCTGGATGTGTATTGGCCACTTGTTGACCTCAGGGAAGAGCGTGTGGTAGGTGGGGTTGTGAGGACAATACCTGGATGTGTATTGGCCACTTGTTGACCTCAGGGAAGAGCGTGTGGTAGGTGGGGTTGTGAGGACAATACCTGGATGTGTATTGGCCACTTGTTNCTTGCTGTGGTTGTCTGTAGTCTGCTAGTGTTCTCACTTCCTGTGGTTGTCTGTAGTCTGCTAGTGTTCTCACTTCCTGTGGTTGTCTGTAGTCTGCTAGTGTTCTCACTTCCTGTGGTTGTCTGTAGTCTGCTTGCAGAGTTGCACGAAGAGCTCGTCACGCAGACACGGCGACGCGTGCGCCATGCCGATGATGTCCAGGGCTACGGAGCTCAGCGTCATGTCCGGCTTGGGCTTCCGGTCCACCATGTACACCTGGCACGGCGACAGCACATTAAGCACAGTCACATGGTCATAAAACACATTATGCACAGTCACGTGGTCATAAAACACATTATGCAGTCACGTGGTCATAAAACACATTATGCAGTCACGTGGTCATAAAACACATTATGCAGTCACATGGTTATAAAACACGGGCAATAATTAACAATATTAAACACGGGCCATAATACTAAGGCAATAATTACAAATATTATTAATTTACAAATATTGCAATAATTTGCAGGCAACACAACATCTGGTACGGCGACAGCACATTATGCAGTCACATGGTCATAAAGAACATGGTAACAATTTACTAAGCTAATAATTAGAAATATAAATAATTTACTAATATTGCGATAATAATTTGCGGGCAACATAATCACATGGTCATAAAGCACATGGTAACAATTTACTAAGCTAGAAATATTACGATAACAATTTTCAGGTAACATATATAAAGATAAAATCCGATGATAAAAGTCATCAAGTTGAGACAATTTGCATGCTACAAAAATAAAGATAGAATTCGATGATAAAAGTCATCAAGTGGAGGTAAAAATCTGGGCCTACACTTTCAAAAAAAGTTAAGTGATCCTAAGTTCATCAGCCAATCATTGACGGCCTTTCGAGCAAAATCCACCAATCATAGACAAGCAAATAGAGCGTAAGTACTTACGTTCACTTAGCGAATTATGAAAGTATGGCCCCTGGTACCTGCACGAGACGGAACATGTCGCAGGCCGCAGTCTTGAGGTTCTTGTCGACCGTTGCGAGCAGCGGCTTCCTGATGCTGTCCTGAGAACGAAGCAATCAATTAGACACTCAATTAATATAATATATAATTTAAATTTTATAATGTATACTCAATGAAAATATACAATGCGACCAAGGGCGGCATATCGACGCAGAATCCCTAGCAAATATTGATGCAGTCTACAGTAATTCGTCTAGTAAAAATCATTACAAAGCTTGCGATAAGTACAACAAAATAAATAATAAACGTACAACAAAAATACAAGAATAAGTACAACAAAATAAATGAATAAACAAACTTGAATTTTAAAAGAATTTTCACCCGCAAACAGTTGTGCACCCAAATCCAGCGGTACATTATTAAGAGAGAAACACGTTCGTCAATAAGCTGTGTCCGAACTAATGCCTTGCCAGGTAATTACTACGGAATATACACCGAGCGATGATAGATTATTCCGAGCTTAATGATAAGTATATACCGAGCGATGATAGATTATTCCGAGCTTAATGATAAGTATATACCCTGTCTCTTATACACATCTAGATGTGTATAAGAGACAGCTCCTACACCGTCCACTACACTCGCCCCCTGCTTACCAGACAACAGTTAAGCTCCTACACCGGACGCTCCTACACCGTCCACTACACTCGCCCCCTGCTTACCAGACAACAGTTAAGCTCCTACACCGTCCACGAATAACAGAGGAATGAGTGATTCGCTAATATTTATCGTACTGGAGTCGGACCAAGTTATGTGTATGAGGAGTGTTATAGGCGGACAACAGTTAAGCTCCTACACCGGACGCTCCTACACCGTCCACTACACTCGCCCCCTGCCCGGTCATATGGCGTCCAACATCACAACCACCTCACATACTATACTTATATGCAAGCGTCACGACACTGTTACTTAAACATATAGAGTTCATAAATTAATAATTCATAAGATAGATTAGATCCTGTTGAATATTCTGATATTTTATGGTGCCTGCTATAACTCGCTGATGCAGGTCTCGCGTAGTTAGCCTCACGACTGTAAAGATATAAGAAAACTAAGTGTGTAAGTGTGTGCCACGGCGAGGGCTCGCACTTTCATAGCTTCTTTGAAAGTGGTACATTTTAATAATAATAGTAATAATAGCGGTTTCAGCGTTATTAGGCCGTAGGCCTGTCGCCGATTCTTAACATCGCAGAACATTCACAGCATTTTGCGGTCTCGAACTCGCAACTCACTGCTACAATTCTGCTGTGCTTAACCGCCCGGCCTCCTTGCCGATTCTGACCAGAAACTGGCGCACAGAGCTGGGATCGAACCCGCGCCTCTCTGCGCCAATCTTGGTACTCTGAACTGTAACCACTGGGCCACCCTGTTTTCGGACGTTAGTAGGACCAGAATGACTTCCTGACACCACTACAACTACAGTTACAAGCTGCCAACTAGGGCAAAATGCACAGCAATAAAATTCCTTGAATTACTTATTTGAATATGTTCAAAAATTAATTTTAAGATAGTAGCTACGCATTCATCGTTATCCACGAAAGAAAGGCAAAATTTCTGTGGAAATTTTGTTCTAAAAATGGTATCCTACGAATTTTTTTGATAGTTCTAAGTTACATGACGTCTTTTAATGTGTTTTGGTATTTCAACAAACGTTGCTTAATATGGCTCTAGATTATCATAAAAAGCAAGCGTATATGACAGACTCTAACCTGTCTGACAGGCAAAGAGACACCGGCGTCTGCTGAAGCGTTTGCCACGGAGAGTTTGGACAAACTGTCTGCGATGCTCTGCGAAGACGCACCGAAGCCCATGACGCCACCACCGCCGCTCTCTATGCTGATCACGCCGCTTATGTTGACGCCTGCATTGCTGGGGCTCACACTGGCATTCTTAGCGCTACTTGATGCAACACTGCCACCCACGTACGATTTAACGCCTGATATTTTAGAATTAATATTCGTTTTTGAGTCTACTGAAGGCGGGACATTGGAAGTGAAGGGTAAACAGCTACCAGACTTGCCGGGAAACATTGCGGTCGTGGACGTCTTTAAAGCGAAAGGCTGCAGGGACGTGTGCACAGAGGACGGCTTGCCGTGATGGCTGGACGACGACTGAAGTCCTTGTGACGTCTGCAGAGGTGGAGTGAAGAACTGCGTGTAGGTCTCGTCATCGGCGAGGTAGTTGATCTCATCCAAGTTTTCCTGGCTCGAGGAGTCGGCGTTTGAGACGGCCTCGTCGTCAGCGAAATGGTCGCTGTCGTCCATGCGGTGTTCGGCGTCAGAGTCGCTGTGCAAGGAGTCGCCGTCCCCGCCCAGCACGCGGTCGCCGAGGCGGTATCCTGCGGGTAAAGGGCAGATTACAGATCTTGGGCAATACGTTCAAAACTCGCTAAGTGAACATAAGTACTTACGCTCTATTTTCTTGTCTATGATTGTGGATTTTGCTTGAAAGGCCGTCAATGATTGGCTGATGAACTTACGATCTCTTAACTTTTTTTTTGAAAGTATGGGCCCTGGCACGCAACAAATAACAACGTGACTTATGAGAATAGGGGTGAAAATGACACGAACAAATGTAGAAGAACGCAATGCAAGAAGACTGTGCCGTGAGGGAGACAGAGTCGAGAGGGTGAAAAGTCATCAGGAGTACTATACCGAGGCAGGGAAAGGGTAATAAGAAATACTGTACCGCTGAAGGAAGAGCCGAGAGGAAGATTGTCCGATATATGCTTACCTAGCAAAATGATGCACCTGAACTGCATGTTAGGCAAGATTATGAGCGCCTAGAGAGATGAGAGCTGCAGAGAAACTGCCGGTAGGTTATGATCAATGTAAACTCAGCATCAATACTGCGCGGTCAGAAAATTTTGTTCTTCGCACAAGCCTATGAAGCTTGGGGGTTTGTGTTGACCGGCTAGCCTTGGGGTACCTGGATTTCGGATAGCCTCCAGCAACCTGAGAGTTCTATGAAAGAGAACATAACTGTTTCAAGAGCTCAACATTTGACATAAACCGTTTGCTACAACCGTTCGCAAACCACCATGTGCTACCATAAACCGTTGCTACAGCTACCAAATAAAAAAACAATCAATTTATTTGGTACGCGACGTTATAGAATCCGAGCAGAAAACTAAATATCTCATTGACTGTAGACGTACCTGAGAGCTGCGCCTGCTCCAGGATGTAGTGGTAGACGGGCTGGTTGTAGACGTACCTGAGAGCTGCGCCTGCTCCAGGATGTACTGGTAGACGGGCTGGTTGTAGACGTACCTGAGAGCTGCGCCTGCTCCAGGATGTACTGGTAGACGGGCTGGTTGTAGACGTACCTGAGAGCTGCGCCTGCTCCAGGATGTACTGGTAGACGGGCTGGTTGTAGACGTACCTGAGAGCTGCGCCTGCTCCAGGATGTACTGGTAGACGGGCTGGTTGTAGACGTAGTCCAGGTTGCTGTAGAGATGCGTCAGGTCCTGGTGCCAGTCCCCCCCGCCGCCCCCCTCAACGCCCCCACATGTTTCCTCTGCGCATCAAATTATGCAAAGTGAGAAAAAACATGCATTTTTCTTATTTAAACATGCAATTAAAATGTTTTTAAAGGCATTTGTCGTAAATTTCGTCTTATTTAAACTTGATTATAAACTATAACTTCGGCGGGCAAAATTTTTAGAATTATTTCAAAGTATTACGAAATCATGATTCTAAATTTGAGTTTCCATAAACTTGACTAGAAATTTTTCTGGCGTGCTAAGTTGTGGTCTTCCTATGGAAAATTCTACCTATAATATAAGCAATCTAAAAATCACGATAGGTAAAAATTATTTGAAACATAATGTACAGATGAGCCAACAATGCCAATAAGGTAATATCAGGCGGTTACCTGAAGGAGCAGGAGCCTTGGCCATATTTTGGTGGGCTTTATTAGCAGTGTTGCAGGGGCTGCCCTTGAGTGACGCGTTGTTCGAGTTGGTATGATGAGACGACGAGTTCGTCTGGATGGTGTCAGAATCAGTTGCTGTTTTTGTGCTGCTGTTAGTGATGGTACTAGCAGTGGACCCGCTCCCGACCACAAGTTGTTTAGGACTAGAAGAAGATGAGGAGGTTGGCTTATCCACACCACGATGCTTAGCGCATTGGTGGCGACTGTGGTGGTGATGATGACTACCGCTGGAGCGGTGGTGAGAACATTTAGACCGGGACCCAGCACCGGGGGCGGCAGTGGATGACGAAGAAGGTGGACTCGTAGTAGCGTCGCTGCCGCGGTCGCTTTTCCTGGACGACACAACGTCAGGAATGCTTTTGCGGTGTCGGTGTTGCTCTGACCCGTGGCTGTGAGTCTCAGAGGCGCGGCTCCCTGACCGGGCGTGGTTCTCAGACCCGCGGCTGCCGGTAGTTCCCATGGACATGTGGCCGGAGTCAAAGAGGGAATGTTGGGAGGCATGTGGGGAGCAGCAGGAGTTGTGTTCGGTGGTCAGGGTGCTCGTACCAGAGTCGGGGAGGCGGTGTGGGGACTCCAAAGGGGAGAAGCGATGGGGAGAGTTGAGAGGGGAGAAGCGGTGGGAAGGCTCTAAGGGGGAGAATCTATGGCGCTGTGTGGGGGGAGAAGGGGAGGACTCGGAGTCTGAGTGAGGGCGGTAGGGTGGGGTGTGGTGGAGGGCCGTGTGGGCGCTGGCGCTTGCTCGTAGGGGGCGCGACTCAGCGCCGTCGTACCGATACCTGCGACCATGAAGAGGAGGCACAGTAAGGAGGTACACTTGCGGTCCAGGGCCCATACTTTCAAAAAAAAAATTAAGAGATCGTAAGTTCATCAGCCAATCATTGACGGCCTTTCAAGCAAAATCCACCAATCATAGACAAGAAAATAGAGCGTAAGTATTTACGTTCACTTAGCGAGTTTTGAAAGTATGGCCCCAATAGTCTAATTTGATTGAGAGTCTACGCGGTATTTGAGCACAAAACTTTATGGCGAGACTCGTATCGACGTATCAATAATACGTGGGCCTGCTGTACTGGGCAGTGCAGAAATAGTTTATAAGAGCAGCCTGTGTGCACCAAATTAATCATCAGGCGTTTTTAGTTGTCAGTCATCACAAGGGCTCTCAGCACCACACCTGTCAGCACCACACCTGTGTCAGCACCACACCTGTCAGCACCACACCTGTGTCAGCACCACACCTGTCAGCACCACACCTGTCAGCACTGTCAGGACGGCGGTCGAGCAGCTGGGCGTCGTATCGGTGCCTGCGATGCAGCATGGGAGTGGCCAGGCCCTCGAGCGAGTCCGACGCACCTTCAGTATGGAGGCGCCCCATGCCCCCCAGGTCCCCAAGCACCTTGCCAGACCCGCTGCCCACTGGGCCACTCATGAAGCTGTGGCTGCGGGACAGTCCCAACTGACGCGGCCTCTCCAGGCTGCCTTCAGAGGGAGGAAGTCCTCTGAGGGAAGAGCCTCCTGCGCCTACACGACCTGCCACGCCATCCAGGCTTTGCTGCTTCGCCATGTGGGCCAAGTTTGTCCCGTCAAAACCATCCTAAAATAGCAATATGAAGATTATATTACAATTATATATGGAAGCATTAACATTCATCATTCACCCATCAGCTGTTCTAAGGAAAGAAAAATGTCAATGTGATCTAAACTTTCAACACATCCGGAAAACTTCATAGTGAAGTCAGCACCAATCTAAGTAATTTTTTATCCAACTAATAAAACAAAGTCTGAGATCATAAGCATTACCTTCAAATATACATAATAGGTCATAAGTTACACTGAAATTTTTAATCATTTCCACCATATTATAAACTATGCTCATGAGTTGTAATAAATAATTAAAACACATGCAGCAAATTTGAGAAAAACAAACAAGTTTCACCAAATGATAGATAATAATGCAGTCTAACGAACAAGACACCAAAATAATAAGTTTAAGCACAAAATATTTCAGATAAATCAATACATTTGAAGGTGGCACAATAAAAAAAAACTTGCATTAGACGAATCGCGGTAATTGGAGCACGAGGAGGTTCTGGTCAGAGAGCAATAAGATAAGTTCATTGAACCAACATAGCGGGCCTATGAGTGGTACTGATTTACTCATTGCCATGAAATTTAAATGGTTCATGAGACCTATATAGACCATTGAAGGCCATTTAAATGACCCTTGAGATCAATTGAAATACAAGAAGCCCATTTAAATGACACTAGAGACCTTTTAAATAGTCCATGTCATCACTAGCACATCTAATGAAGAGAGGATTGATAGTGGACATAAATCATTCAACTAATTCAAGTTCATTGTAGCTTGTATATATACGTAGAGAAGGAAGTAACTAGCATTACCAAGCCTGTTTGATTGATTATACATGATCCCTTTAATATGCTTGTATATTTACGTAGTGAAGGAAGTAACTTACATTACCAAGTCTGTCAAGTATACATGATCCCTTTAATACGCTTGTATATTTACGTAGTGATTCATTAGCGACTCAGTTCTGACTCATTAGCGACTCAGTTCTGACTTATTAGCGACTTGGTTCTGACTCATTAGCGACTCAGTTCTGACTCATTAGACTCAGTTCTGACTTACTAGCAACTCAGTTCTGACTCATTAGACTCAGTTCTGACTTACTAGCGACTCAGTTCTGACTTATTAGCGACTCAGTTCTGACTCACTAGAGACCAAGTTAGTAGAACTTGCAGGAAAATTCATGGATTCAAGTGAAATGCAATCAAAAGGGAAATATTAATGCTATATTGTCAAAGGATAAATGTTGAGTTGGAGACCAATCATCAGGCAAGACTTTGTTACATATTTTTTTGAGTTGTTTTCCTGCAAGACAACACACCATCAAAGTTATATTGAAGTCAAGCAAAATATGAGAAACATTATAAATGAATGAAAATATTTGAATATTCATCAGCACAAATGCCTTCATCAACAAATACATAATTTTGAAATATCAATCAGGCATTAACCAAAAAGTAAATACAAAACATTATGTAAAAATTCAGTGATTTAGAGGAAAATTCAGCATGACACTGCAAACAAGAAGTTTTTCATTCAAAATTAATCATGTCATTCAAAATGAGTTTGAACAGTTGACTTAATATAAAAAAAATAACAACACAAGGAAAAGTGTAGCATTCATTTGCATAAAAATTTTGTCGTGAAGACTTTGCACAACAAACATCACAACAGTCAAACAAATAACAAAAACATTGAATATTTCAAATGATCATCCAACAAAACACAAACAAAAAAAAAAAAAATCTTCAAGGAACAGCATGACAAAGTGAATGAGCTAACCACACAACAAATAATTTCAAAATTATAAACATGCTCATATGAAAAAAAAATTAAATCGCGCAATTGTCATTTCTGCCCAGTTCATCAGATTAAGAAAATGAGCAATCAAGAAAAAACATCTTAAATCACAACATAGTATGAGACTCAATTGATTATTAAAATAATATGCAATGAAAATATGATCAGACTGGTAAAAAATGAGCTCCGCTATCAAGTTTACCGGAGCATGCGGAGCAGGAGATCTGGTAGACGGAGAGCTGCCTCTGCCTGATCCAGTTCTCCGAGGCTCACCGAAGAGCCCCACTTCAGGCCCACAGCCCACTTCAGTGTTCTGCTTCAGTTGCTGCATGTGCATTTGCAACAAATAGGAATTACAAAAAAGAAACAATACAACAAAAATATCCTAAGAAAGAGTGCTATCCACTGGATGCAAACCAAACAAAACATTTGACACTCATCAATAAAATCTATCCTGAACTTTGGTAAAAGGTAGTAATGCTTTGATGGTGGGCGGTGGCCACTGCATGGTGAAAATTTCACAACCGAGTCCATTAATCATGAAAAATGACTATACAAATATCTTATTAATCAATCATAATATATAATTATATATTATAATTTGAATATTGATAATTATATCTTTAAATAAGTAATATAACCATTTGTTTATTATAACTTTTTAACATAATAATAATTATGTTACAAATTATAATTATTAATTATTATTAATTATAGGTATGTAAGAAATTACAAATATTTGTATACCTAGGTACTATATGTATTGGTATCTGATGAACAGTGACAAATATTGGGAGCTATTTTCAAAGACCATAAAAATGAAATTAGACAACAAAAATAATTAAAATAAGAAGTTGCTGTACCTGTAACTTGGCTAGAGGAATGATGTCACAATTCTGAGGTCGCTTCCAGACGGTCTTGGATGAGGTGGCGTTGTAGTAATAGAAGCGAGCTGTCTTGCTGTCAAACAACTCCCACCATTGGTTGGCATCAAACTTTTTACTGTAATTCAAGACAAAAATATTACAAGAAGCTGAGTGAAAAGTGAATCCATGGCTTTTATCTGATCAAAGAATTTGTGACATTATTATGAACCAAATAGAATATAGATACACATGGTTAGAATGACGGTGTTACTTCTGTAACCAGTGCTTATAAAATTCAGTGATCTGAGTGATGAAATTTATTCCCTGAACATTTAAAACCTTAAAGGAATGACTTAAAAAATCAATGAACAACCTTTGAATTAACTTACTATGGCACAGAATCAGGCAGCTCCCAGACACACTGGCCAGTAGTCAGATTTGCATACATGATGTTGCGGGATGAGGGCTCTATGATCTCCACCCACTCCAGCTGCCTGGAAATAGAATGAAGTATTGAGTTATTAGTTAATTATGATCATCTATATATACATCAAATAATTTAAATTTAGATTCTACACAAGCTGTAGCTGTCACCTAGAATGACTGAACAGTAATGAAGTCAAGCACAAAGCTTGTTTTGGAAACTACATGTTCTTTAGAAGTTTTGCATGGGTTTTTGTGGTGCCACTCTATTCATATAGTTTACAAATATGGACAGTAATTAAGGAGTTTAAACAAATTAAAGTATATTAAACAATTTCATAATTTTCAACAAAATATCAGCTGCTATTCATTTTACAGAATGAACAGAAATGTCAACTAACTTTGGATAATAAAACTTTGCATGTAATGTGCATGGAATAACTTGCATTGAGAAATGAGCTAAAACTGATTTCAGATGCTCAGGTTGTAATATGCCACATTATAAATCAAATTTTTCATATGCACTTGTATACGTGGAATGAGTTCCATGTGATGTGCCTAATTAACATTCATTAGAAAATATTCTAATTCACAAAACAGGGGTCAACAACTCGTGTAGAGGTGAAAAACAAACAAATGACCATTTACTTAAAAATGTGGTCCATGTGCATAACACAGAATATATATAGATTTTTCAATATTTTTTATTAAACCATAAAATTTGGTTGTTTTTTGATCCTAATATTGATAAATGATGAAAATCAATAATAATAGGAATGATAATAATCTCGTATCTAACTGATAAAAAAGCATTTGATAAAGCTGCAAGAATAAAAAGTTATTAAAAATATGTCACTTTGGAGCCATAATATTCTAGTAAAGAGTAGGAATTGTCAAATTTTGCTTAGGTCTATGGATGGCAAAATTGCAGAAAAAAATATAGATTCCACAAATGATATTTGAAAATTATAAGCACATATATACAATTTTTTACAAATAAATTATTCAAGGGAAGTTAGCATGGCATTGTTGTCCCATTTACAGGCAGCAGCTTCTGCCCAAATTGATTATCAAATTATTAAAAATTTATCTATAAAATATAATCAATATATGATAGGTATATCATAATCAATCTTGCACAAGTCTCTTCACTCTTGCTTCCTAAAAAAGTATAGGTAAAAGCTGAAGTCATGTCTTTAAATATATAAAGAAAAATTTTTCATCTTATTATTCACCTTGTGACCTCAATACTAGAGGAAAAAAGTGTCTAGAACATAAGCAAGGGAATATAGGTATTTTTATACATTCTCAGCCAAAACTAGAGCTTTCATATCAGTGCCATATTTTGCATTCAAGATTCTGGCTAGATGAATTATCTCCTATCTATTTGTCAACAAAACTGTATGACTGGACTGCAATATTCAAAATATAGTAAAAATTGGTCATATTAGAGCCGCTAGATTTCAGTAATAAGTAGGAAAATTCTCTAGAATAAGGCAAAATCATATATAATTATAAACAGGGTGGAAATTGGAACTCTAGGAATATGGGTTTGTGGGTAAATATAGGTACTGTAAAATGGGGTTACTTTGACTGGCGGGGTAACTTTGACCACTTCTCGTTTTCTTAACAAAAACCCTCAAAACTCAAAAACGATTTGACATAAAAAAATTTTGTCAATGGCCATCAAAGGCCTAATACTGAGGCTACATAACACAATAGAAAGATTTAAAAAGTTTGCATATCTAATAGGTTAAAAAATTAATAATGTGACCCACAAAAAAGAGCTATTATTTAAAGCCTGTTGAGTACCTGTCTCTTATACACATCTAGATGTGTATAAGAGACAGATCTTACAGATGTACAATGAATTTGTCATATAATTTTCGAATATTAAAAAAATTAATTTTTCAAATTTTTTTTATTATATAAATTTTTTTTAATATAAAATTTTTTTTTCAAAATTATTTATTCTGTTAATTGATTCATGCATTGCCTCTGACTTNAGTCGCAAAAAAAATCGGTTTTCCGATGCCGACCGCCAAAAATGGATTTCAGATTCGTAAATCGTAATCTACACCCCAAAAAACATATAATTCAAAAAAAAACACCCTTTTTTTTGGATGTAGTTAATCTGCAATAATACCAATTTAATTAGGAAGTACCCCTATCATAAATTTTAGCCGGGAAAAAGTATTATTTTATAAATACAGTTTCAACAAATTTACTACCTGTGTTTACTGGTTCATAATCATAGTACAAAAGATAGAAAAATTTTCAGTTTAATGATGACTTAGTTAAGTTAGTTTATTTTATGCATACCTAGGCTAGCTAATAAAATATAACAGCAAATTAGTAATATTTAGGTATTATAGACTGTAATCACTGTATTAGTGTAAAGCAACAGTTTTTACACTTGTAACTTAAATTTACAATGGTTTACCATATACCATTTCAAAGGGCAGGGCATAGCAGGCATTGTCTTGTGGTCTAAAACTATTAAAATCAAATAATAGATGAACATGAAAGTCATTAGAAAGTATAAAACTAGATATAAATTAAATTGCAATAGTGAATAGTTTAATAAATATACTACTATTAATGCCACAGTTGCCATGCACTGCAGAAATAAGAAAGTAGGCCTACACATTTCTCATGCTCTAAACTAAAGTCTAACTCTTTACTTATAGACTGTTAAAGCTAGTACCAATAAGATAAAATATTTTGTACCTGTTGCCATTGGATGCCATCTTGCAGCTGCCCCAAAGAAAATTCTGCCAGGCCACAATTGATATTATTTCTACATCAGATGAGTTTCCACTTTGCTGGAGTCGTCAATAAATCGGAGTGCCTAATGAGCTAATCGCTAATGATTACATGACCTCTCAAGTCTCAAATTGAACAGAAAAATGATCACTGAAAGCCAACGCCCTCTAACTTCCATTAAAGATATTATTTTTCAACAGTTTGACTGTTATTTTCGGTGCAAAAGACAAAGTCATTCTCTCGGGACAAAATTTGGCTTGATTTACAGTAGAAACATCACAATTTAGTCTGACCCTCACTTCCAAAAACTCGCACCCTCGCAGATCTGACGATAGCGACTGTAAACAGAGCATTGGATACTTCGTATCGCATCTTCAGACTTGGGCTCCGCTATGCCCCCATGAGACAGGAGAAAGTGCACCTAGCTCGCCAAACTTTTTAATCGAGTTCTTTGTTCAACAATGACCATTTTTAACAGAGAATCTCTTCGCTAGGAACTCAATAAGCTGAAGTAATAATTTACAAATAAAATAAGCGACTGAGTATATTTTTGCTATTAATTAGGTGAGAGACGCTGGTAAATATCTCTGTCAGTGGGTATAATTTTGAATAGACCATATAAATATGACGTGCTTGCCATATCCCATAGATTGTTTGATTGCATGGTATTGAAAATTTCCTGTGAGTATCAGAATTGGAATTGGATTGCGTGCTGATCTCCGTTCAACTCACTTCAAGAACTTTAGATCGGTCATTCACGTGCACACAAATATTTTACTGGCATAAAAGATTCAAAAGTTTACTTTGCACCGTCAGTTAACAAATGTTCAAGTAATAATTATTGACTACAGTCATATAAGACTAAGACATTCAGTTATCTTATATATGTCAACATCCTAAAAAACAGAAACAATGTACTAAAACATTCGGCACGGTCACCTTTGCCTTCCCACCCTCCACTCCTCAAGACCATACTCTTACCATCCTCCTTCTCTCCCTAAACCTTCACTCGTTCTTCGACTATTTCTTCACACTCTCAAACATAGCTACAGTTGCTGTTGTTAGTTGTTTATGATCTGCCGCTCGTTGGCGCCCCATTAAAAGCGGCGGCTCCGTGGGAGGAGGAGGGAGCGTAGGATCCACTCCAAGGAAGTCGAAGAAGGATGGGAGTGATGAGGGGAAAGCCACAGTCGGTCTAGGGTTAGACAGCAGAGGTCCAGTGGGATTAGCAAGATGGGGTGTGAAGGGCAGCTGAAGAGGTGATGGGTGGTGTGATTTATTATGCCGCACAGTCACTCAGGGTAGAGGGCTATTTGCGCTCCAATGCGGGCAAGGTACGAGTTGAGACTCGGTGAGTAGCCAGAGCGGAGCTGGGAAAGGGCGCTTCGCTACAGTTGCTCCCCGAGGCAGACCCACATTCATTGCCATCCACTCTTCGTTTGTTCTCTCATACCCAACTTCATTTATCCCAACTATCTCATTCAGAATCACCTCAATCATACACTGTCACTTTCTCATACGCCCCACATTCTAGCAAGAAGTGCTCCTCAGTTTCCTTCTCATCCTCATCACACATAAAAATTTTGCCTTCCCTCTTGTCAGTCCACCTGTATTTACGGCCATTCACAACAGGCGTCCTTGCTCTCACACAAAACTGATGGTCCTCACCTCTACTACCATCATACATGCATTCATATTTTGGCATAGCTTTCATCCGATAGTTTTACATCGTTTTTCTTTCCTATCCTTGCTTCGATACCTTCAGCCTATAGTCTTTCACCCGCTTTATTTTATCTCTTTTCCACTCGTTTTCATCCCACTCTATTCTAACTGCACCCAGTGAAAAACAATGTTTACTTTACTACCTCCACCTACGTCATTAATTATGCGAAGATGATGGCCATTAGTTGTAGCGGTGCCGTCAGGAAGATTCCTTAAAAAGTCGTATCACAAAAAATAATACACTCAACTGACTCAAGTCAACCTTGCATGGCATTCGATTTCGTGAGCCTCGTTCTTTCGGGAACATTTCCTTGGATTCCCACCATAACTGTCCGCGGGTGAAGCACATGTAGATATATTCTCACCATATGTATTTGCAGATTCAATTGTGCTCGGAGTTTCATCTAGTCTTTAATCATCGAAAATCAAAGAGCCATCAAGAAATAGAATACGAACTAAAATTTATTGCATACATTGCGCATCAAAAATAAGTACAAGAAAACCAAAATATGTACAAGACGATTTTATTATCCTCTACTGTACAAAATCTGAACAAATCTACGAATTACGTGGCTTGGGCTCGATTGCCGGCTCAATGGATGCCTTCTTCGCGTTTGATGTTTCATCGTCTGATGAGGAGGAATCGGAATCGCTGTCGTCGCTTGATGAGCTCGATTCACTCATGGCTTCAGAACCCTTATTCTCACTAGACTGTTTGGCGAAGATGTCATTGCCAAAAAGTACGGAGAGCCTCGCTCGGACCGCGGGCTCCAGAGGCTGCCCCGAGCTGGCTATTTCGGCAGCCAAGGCCGGCGCTGACGCGGGGTCGTGCGTGCGTACGTACGAAACGCACATCTGATGGGAAAATTATTAAAACGCATTCAGGGCAAGCTTAACTTTACAGGTAAGTTGTGCGTCGACAACGGGACTTAGTGGATAATGAATGAACGAACAATTAACGTCAGGCGCAACTAGAAAAAAATGAAAATTGGGAGTCTGGGTGTAGGATAAAGTAATGGAACAAGGCTTAATTGTACGAGCCATTAAGGATTTTTGCAATACTATCTTAATAAAAGAAAAGTGTGTCAAGTTACCCTTTCACTTGATTAAAGCGAAGACGATTAACAATATTTTATTAGGACCCAAACATCAATCAAATAACTACGCTGAGAGGAGCAAGGATGCCTGAGATAATCTTAACAGTGCACTGAGACACGGCCTCTCGTTGGGTCAGCGCTAAAAGCGTCAGCTTGCGCCTAAAACACAATAATGATAACAATTTAAAGAACTTTGTCACAGTCACAGAACACCAATTTGTTAAAATTAAATTGCCAATAAATAATTTGGTGCAGAAAACTTTATTGAGAACCCATAAATTGTTAAAATGGGCGGTTATCAGGAACTGGAATAATTTCTAAACAAATATTTCTACTGCTGAGCTCAAATATTCTTATTCCTCATATAAAATGTGCAGCCAAGCAGAAACAAGACCAATGACTGCGAGCGCAGGCAATCCTGGCGGTAGTTCCTTCAATATCTGGCGGCTGGGCGAGACCAACTCTTCCATCCGCCCAGAACGCTGGTCGCTACCTAACCACAATAACTACGTCTGCCAAGCATACGATTATAGGGGCATGTCTATATTTTGAAATTATATCCTGTAACACATACGCATAAAACCTTCACATGTTACAGGCCACAACAACTGGAATATTATAAAAACACCATCTAAGAAAATGAGCGGGAAGAACAGGGTGCCGGTATTAGCGAAGAGTTAACTAGAGAAAGACAATACAGAGACTATTTACCATAGCTGTGGAGATGTCCCCTTGCTTGACAGCCGCTGAGCAGAGCTTATGCACGTCATCAGCTGGTATTTCCCCGACGACGACAGTTGCGTGCTTGCTGACGAGCTCCAGCAGATGGCGTCCCTCCTTCAGGCCGCCGCACGTCGCCAGCACCGACAACATCTGACCAGCCAGAGGCGCCGGCCAAGAGTTCTGTGCAAGTAATACTTAGTGAGAAGATTGATGGTTAGGATCAACTGGTACGTCGGGGTAGGAAAATACGCTGTATTAAGTGGGATAAAATAAAGACGAACGCACACCAGGACATTTAAATCTATGTCTTGGTGAGTTACGTCTACACAACAGCCGGCAAATTTACGATTCAAGCTGAGTAAAGCACTGAATTTTCTCCTTTGGCAATTTGCAAATTATTACCGTCAGCGGTCGAGGAGGGAATGACAAAGAGATAGTATTATCCTAATATTATTACCCTAAACAAACACGTGATCGTCACCTTGGTCCTGGAACAAACGCTACCCTCACCTTGGTCCAGGAAAATATACAACACTCACCTTGGTCCTGGAAAATATGCAACACTCACCTTGGTCCTGGAAAATATACAACACTCACCTTGGTCCTGGAAAATATATAACACTCACCTTGGTCCTGGAAAATATGCGACACTCACCTTGGTCCTGGAAAATATATAACACTCACCTTGGCCCTGGAACAAACGCTCCCCTCACCTTGGTCCTGGCTCGCTCGTCCAAGCTCTCCTCCATGGAGGTGATGACGTAGCCCAGAATCCTGGCGAGCTGTTCACTGAGCGGCACGCGCTGCCCCAGCCGCTCGCTGCTCAGCCCCAGCAGTCGCTGCTGCTCCTCGCGCTGTCCGTCCCTCTTGCCCTTGTGTGACCTGAGCCATCAATTTATTTACTGCTGATAACTGGCAGTAATTCTTACAGGATCCAGGATAAACGCTATTAATTCCTTATCTTTAATACAGATAGATCTTTAATTCGCAAGTGATACGAAAGCGGATCAAAGCACCAAAATTATTGAGCCGTCGAGAAGAGACGAGAAAGATGTTCAAGTGAATAATGGCCCCAAATAAATTGCAAGGAAACATTACAGCTTTACATTACGGTGAGCAACACCAAGGAAACTTTCAGCAAAACATTACGACTAGCGGCCTTGGTGACGTGGAGACGCACCTGTCACGTTGGGCGACGTCAGGGACGCACTTGTCAGGTTTGGCGACGTCAGGGACGCACGTGTCAGGCTGGGCGACGTCAGGAACGCACCTGTCAGGCTGGGCGACGTCAGGGACGCACCTGTCAGGCTGGGCGACGTCAGGGACGCACCTGTCAGGTTTGGCGACGTCAGGGACGCACCTGTCAGGCTTGGCGACGTCAGGAACGCACGTGTCAGGCTGGGCGACGTCAGGAACGCACCTGTCAGGCTGGGCGACGTCAGGGACGCACCTGTTAGGCTGGGGGACGTCAGGGACGCACCTGCCAGGCTGGGCGACGTCAGGGACGCACCTGTCAGGCTGGGCGACGTCAGGAACGCACCTGTCAGGCTGGGCGACGTCAGGGACGCACCTGCCAGGCTGGGCGACGTCAGGGACGCACCTGCCAGGTATGGCGACGTCAGGGACGCACCTGTCAGGCTGGGCGACGTCAGGGACGCACCTGTCAGGTTTGGCGACGTCAGGGACGCACCTGTCAGGTTTGGCGACGTCAGGGACGCACCTGTCAGGTATGGCGACGTCAAGGACGCACCTGTCAGGTATGGCGACGTCAAGGACGCACCTGTCAGGTATGGCGACGTCAGGGACGCACCTGTCAGGTATGGCGACGTCAGGGACGCACCTGTCAGGTTTGGCGACGTCAGG